ATATTGTTTTCAAACTTGCCTACATTTCTTTAAAAATACGCGAAAAACTCATATTTTAAATAAATTTGCATCATCTTATTTAAAGATCTGATTTTGAAGAGTATATTACACTAAAATATATCTATCTTCAATATCGTTGTTGTAGGAAGATGGCGAAAAATTATAACTTTTGCAATTTTCGAAAGTTTAAAAAATGCCACGAAAATTGGACCTGCGTCATTTTTAGAAGTATACTTTGCTCTGAAGTAAAAAAAAAGGAAAAAATTGAGTCATTTTTGGGAAAATGTTGAAATTGCTTTCTGACTTAATGTAAAGTACCGCCAAAACTCAAACCATCCGTTTCAAATTCGAGGACGCGACTTCAGCCAAATACAATGGAGGAATATCAATTTTCGTGAAAATATTCTTTAAGATTTAGCCAACTAGTGTTTTGTTTACAGTTCAATGACAGACAGAAGTTTTACGCAAACCAATTGTTCGATATGAGGCCCCATAAAAGTGGATTCTGTTGTACACAACGTGTTAAAGAAAGTACCTAATTTAAGTATTATATATATATATATATATAGATATATATATATATATATTATTATATATTATATATATATATTATTACAAGAATTATTCAACTTTTTAGGTATCAGGGATCTACAATACGAGTATTCTGCAGAAAATCTCCGTTTTTGCACCGCAGCCTATTGCGAGAATGTAAAATAATATTTTTGAGGTTTTCTGTGTTGTATTCAAATTTTGATGGTCTGATTTCAATATTTGTAAGCCAAGATTTTAAAATCTTTCTTGAGATATCCTCATTGGAACTTTTTTTTTTTTATAATCTTCCCTACTTCTATTCTTATATTAATGGGATCAACCACGATTGTATTTGAATATTAGTGGTGCCCATTTAAAGTTTGAAATTTGAATTTGTTTAACATTTATAAATGAAAAATTATTTTGTAACCCAAAATTACATTAATTTCAGTTTCAAACTGTTGTCAGCTATGATTCCGATAAAAATCTTGTATATTTGCTGTATAAACACATAAGTAAAATGTACGTAAAACACGCGGTAAGTAAAATATTGCTATTTTTCCTACTACGTTGGAACATTTGGGACCATTTGATCCGACACAAGTAGCACATATGATTTGATAACCCTGGTGCCAGAAATGAACAGTGGATTCGGTGAGATACGTAATATTTAGGCTTAGGTTTTATACAAAGGCCCAGGCATTCTTAATGGCGTGTAGATATTATGAACTTGGATTTGTTCAACACGTTCAGACAACACATGTAAATGACAAGTTATTAATTGCGAGAGAAGTTTAAAGATTTATTTAGTAAATATTATTACAAAAAATGTGAAAAATCTGTATTCATGTTGTTGTTTGTTAGCTAACGCCCACTCTTGGCATGTTAGCCATTTGGTGACGCGCCGACCAGTATAAACGTGCAGACTTTCCCCTCAGCTTTTAGGGATCCGCACGCCCACAATGGTCAAGCGCGTAGGTGGCGAATCACTGTTGCTCATTTAGCGTTACCCAGGGGACACGTGTGGTAGACCACGGACGCGAACAACTTTGTCCCCGCGACAGGAAAATATTTAGACTTTTAATCTGAGATATACGAAGATGGAAGAACCTGTATAAAGTAGCCACTGTAGACCTCAGATAACCATCTTCCAACTTTTGTCGCTTCACAGCAGAAATCCCTATTTCTTGTTTTTGTTCCGAGTGTGCTATAATTTTACTTTCCCGATTTCTAGGAATAGCAAGGAATCTAAAAAGCTTCCTTGCTCCTACTGCCACCTTTTGCCGCAGTCCACTATTGTACACAACTTGGTAATCTTGAAAATATAACTCCATTTTAGAAAAAATGAACTTCTCAGTTCAAGAAAGAGAGCCTTCGCAAAACAAAAACGTTTTAAGTGCATTTAGGTAGAGGAAAAAATCCAAAGAAGAAAGATCTCGACGCAATAAAATAAAATCGACACATATAGTTTTTACTTTCTCGCCGTTAAGTCAGGCATGTCAAGATCGCGAGCAAGGCAACAAGCTTACTAGAGCTCGCAGGTACTGAGTCCAGAGAAAGTGGCGCAGGATTTAAAAGGAAGGTTTGTACAAATTCCTCCAGAGTGGCGGTACGTTACTGGATACCTGACCCGTGGCAGTGTGAGAAGTTACTTGACGGTATATATTATAATATAGATTGTAACCACCTTGGTTGGACCGAATTTCGTACTTTCACGTTATCGTTCTCCATGTTCTCGTGGAAGTGAGTCGATTCCTTCACGTGAGGCACGATAAGAGACAATAGTCGTTAACACTAACTAGATTAATAACGTGCTGGACATTCAATTAATATAAATTCCTTTCTGTATTTACCAGTATTATCCCAGTCCTTGTTTCAACATTCGTAGTACGATTTGAAAAAAACATAGATTTACATCAAGTTCAAGTCATCTCTGGCAATTTTAGTAATTCAGTTACAAAATATTTGGTTTGCGAATTCCGAGATTTTTATTAGAAACATATTTTTAAAATTATTTTTATGGTACCTACTAGTTTTCTAATTTATGTGTACATTTCTATAAAGCAATGGTGTATTATTCACGTCATTCAGCCTTGTTATTTCTTAAGAACAAATCAGAATAGTAAAAAACATAAAATTCTATTGCGCGCAGAGGCTTTTCCTTTACGAGTTAACCCAAATATGAAGTATGTACCTATCTTCTGACACGATTATCTTAATTAAACAGTGACAGAAATAAAATGGCCCAACAGTTTGCATTTATACATCTTGCTTATATACAGGCTCAGAGAAATGTACATATGTACAAGTAGTTAGTTTGTTTGTAGGTGCGCACGCACGTTGACGATGAGATGACATGTGCTGAAGTGCACATGTGCAAACGGGACATGGATACAAAACACTTTAATTTTGTAGTCCAGTGTTCTTCTGCACGTTTCACAGCACACGGGCTAAGTAGCTCTCGAAGCAAGCGGTTTTGCACGCCGAAAGCCGGTTCCGTGCGCTTATATTAAACGAACCATACACCACCAGTTTTGCCTACGTTCTTTTGTGTACACCGCAAAATGCACATTTTACCTGCGCAATATTTTTACGATAATACAGATCAGATTGGAGAGAATGTCCTTTTGGTTCCGTTTCGATGTACTTTTAATCGCGATTAAAAATATTTGAAACAATTTATAACTCACAATTATTATTTTATTCGGTCTCCATTGCTCGGATGAAAATTGAATGTAATTAATGTTCTTTTACATGTTGAATAATGTAATCAATTTTCATGGTTTGATCTTTTTGTCTCAAGTCCTATTTCAAAATTTTAGTGAACAGGCTAATACTCACGTTCAACATTTCTCACAGTGGTTTTTGAAACAGTCACAGACAAATCTTCAAACAACCGTGCGTATTCGATCAGTAACCGATATATATATATATATATTATATATATATATATATATTATATATATATATAATTATATATATAATTATATATATAATAAATACTTTGGTATAGTCCTTACTTTTTTCCATAGAATTAACTTTTTCTTTTATCATTTTCTCATATACAGTACGGCTTAGGGCCGTCATAAATGTAGTAGAGCTAAAATTACATATTTTTTCGAATATGGTCTTCATAAGTACACTTTTACATGGGCATTGCATTGCATTGCATTGATTTATTATTATTATTATTATTATTATTATTATTTATCATTTATTATTTATTAATGGGGAATATCAGGTCATAAGGACTTCTTTATTACACTGATTCTCTTACACTACTTTTGAGATCCATTTAATGAATTTTTTCGATTAAAAAAAAACAACCCATATTTGAAAACAGGTCACGAGAAAGGTATTACGATTAATCATTCACGTGAGAAATTAATGACTAATCTATGAAAATAAAATTGAATGATGTAATGTGCGAAATCTAAACGAAAATTGTTCCTATAATACGACCTTGACAGGATTCTCCACGACTTTCTTGCCACCACTGATTATTCGATCTGAAAATTATTTCATCGTGTAATCAATTTAGATGGTTGCGATCAGATATGCACAGGTAAAAAGTGTGGTAAAACCGAACGTGTATGGTCCACTTTAAAGCTTCACATAAATGGTTAAACCAATCAACATAAAAAATGGTTCCAAAACACGCGAACATAATGGGGGAAATTGCTCTAGCATTCAAATGCTAGAGTTGTGAGGAATCATATTTGGAAGCAACGCCAACGAAACAAGGTCAGCTTTGTGCTACCACAACACAAATCTCACCTTAGGGTCTAATACCTCACCAGGCCGCAATTTTCCAACCTGTAGAAAAATAATTTGTTTGAAACCAAATAAATGAAATAACAGAGAAAGATGGTGCGGATGTCAGAGTGAACTTGGATACTAGAGGACAGGAAATTAAACAGGGATACAGAACAATACGATACACCACAATACGATATATTTGTAACAGAACAAAACAATGACGAACGTATTCAAATTGCCTGTAGAAGTAAATGAAAATTTCAAAGCAAATGCAATAAATAAATTGCAAATAAAAATTACCCTTGAAGAAAATATAATTAATAAAATTAATAATGAAAAAAAAATGAACGTATGAAGTATTAACGAAATATTAAGCACTTTCATTCCGATACAATGTTCCTCGCTCTCTTTCATTCGTCTTTCCCACTCAATTCCTCTATCGTTCAATTATTCTACTATCCCTACTTTACTTCCCATTAACACGAATACATTTACTCTCAAATCACTCAAACACTGTTACCTTATTTTCCCCTCTATTTTCTCACCCGCTCCATCATCTAAAATGTTTTCGCCTCGCCTCTCACTCATTCCGCCTACGATTTGGTTTATCTATTCATTACTCATTCAGTTTTTTTCTCTTTCACCCTCGTTGCCTTTTCCTATGTTTCACACGCTCCCATTCACACTTATTAATCTTTCATTCTTTACTCTCTTTCGAGAGCTATCACGCGCAGAGCAACTTAAAAGACAGAATATGTTGTGCATAAAATAAATACATTATGAGGCAAAGCAACTGAAAGCTGAGACAATACTTGAATGGCATAAGGACGAAACAAAACCATGACGTAGAGCAGCTGCATTACACGAAGCAGGGAATGGCTGGCTCACCTTGCGGTCGTCTGGAACTTCGCCGGGACGCAACTTTCTATTCTCCTATAAGTAAAATGGAAATAATGAAAAATGAAAATGCATCATTAAACAGTTGACAATATTTTCAATATTACTTTAGCGTAAGGAATTATTACCCCCTTGAATAATGCCACGTATATAGACGATCAAATGACTAGTAGGCCTTTTTGTAAAAGTAGTGAAGAAGATACCTCTTATAATGTATGTTTAATATAGCTGTTGTTCAATATAGACCTTACGTCTCATTGATTGTAATTATTTCGTAGTGAATCTTAATGCTAGTGTAACATTGGTCCCAATGAGGTTGTGTAAATTCGGCTGACCCACATTCGTAGGTCAATGGCTAGCAATAGATGCGGCCATATGCGATACAATACTGTAGTGTTTCAGTCTAGCTAATATTCACTCTCTTCACGATCCAGGAGTTACCGACTCAGCGCACATTTTCTTAACGATAAAGCTTTTATTAGTGCACAATGAAGAAGCCAGAAGTTATAACTAGAAACATAAAACAAACATGTAAGAAAATGCTATTCTAATAAATAAGAAACGATGAGACATTGATATGTACAGAAAAGTACTGAGTCAAGAATACAAATGAGTATTGCATGATGAAATCAAGAGTTGCCGAGGGCAAAACTACAAATAAAGAGTAAATATCATGCTCATTAATCAATTTAATAATGAGAATTAACTTGCAGCGTAAAGCATATAATAAATTCACAAGTAATCAGTTATTTTATCTATCGAGAAATAAATTGGACACTTTCTGGTTCAAGTTATTTCACGATCGAAGGATGATTGAATTGTTCGGGGAATTGTCCGTTGATATTTTATTACTGCCTATTGTGAACCTTTTTCACAAGCACCTTACTAGTGAGTAGACTTGCTTCGACTATTCCAAACGAAATTTTTAAATAAGCTTTTAAAATTATTGTATAGAAAATTAAAAACAATGGAGTTATGTTACGATTAGAAGAAGAAACGAGATGCCATATCTTTTAACATGAACAGTGATTCCGAATTGACGCAGGAGCACACTAATTTCTTGAAGCTTTCAGAAAGAATCATGGTTTCAACGTCAGCGTGTTTAGCAATCTTCGAGCTGTAGCAGTACGTAGGATACGATATTTTAACAGAAAGCTTTAAACCTCTAGAGATTTATCCCGAAGGGAATCTACCTCGACTCTTACTCCCGTTCAATTAATAGTTCTATTTCCATAAAAAGGACAAAAGTCCCCAAAAAGTGACACATTTAAGCATAAGTGCTGAGGGAACTGACTTATAATTATGTATTTGGACACGAGCAGTGTCAAGTAATGTATATTGATCAAGGTGAAGAGTTCCCAAATTATAACTCCCTGTACACCTCACTCTTGACTGGTTTTCATAAAACATTGTGTTAGGTTTGTATTGCATCAGGTAGAGCAACATAATAGATTAAAGCAATAGATGAATAAACATCATTAAAATCCAATCAAACATAGAATCCTTTCACTCAGTTGCTTTATACACAAAGATCGTGCATCTGGTAGAGCTGGATGTCGCTATAAAACAAAGCAGTATCAATTTATATTCATTAGTGCACACTTTTTACAAAGAGTCTCATCTCTGAAATTAAGTCGAGGCATTAATAATTTGACATCAAAATGCATGAAATGTAAACATCAACGTATGACACACAGGCGAAGAAACACGAGAAAGAGAAACAGAGGTATATACAAAAGATGAAAACAGACAGAAAGGGCGTCGTTGTGGCTCTGCTCGCCTGGACGCTGTTTTGCCCGCAAACACCCATTCACATTCAATATAAGGCGTGGTGGTCGAGAGCAGGAACGGAGAAGCCGGGCTGCGCTGGGAGGGGCCGTTGGGCGGGTTGGCGGGGGTGGCGGGGGCGGGGGTGGTGTCCGGGGTGGAGCGAAACCGGAGACCGGTGCACGGGGCGAGCTGTTGCTGCTCTGCTGAGGAGACGGCGCTCCTCCGTCTCGCTTGCTAGATTGGATTCCTCCAAGGTTAAGAAAACATTGAAACATGCACAGTGTTTATCGTATGCACATACGACATTGGATTGGCCATCTTGTGACTTTATTTATTTAACGTCAAAATACAATTAAAACCATGTGACATGTTGAGAAGAAGTCTTTAGAAGAGAATTTTGATCCTGGTGACGATGATAAAAATACATTGATATAATTGATACAATGTATATAATTTTATTTTTAACGCATATCAAGTCACAAAGGCCAAGAAATGACGTTGGCCAAATCTCCCTTTTAAAATCGCAAGGTTTCTCCATAACCTTGTGATATTTTTTGCTATTTGATTATAAAGATACATTTCAAGAATCATTCATAAATCACTTACAAAGCTGAATTTTCCATGCCGTAACTTATCTACATTTTGTTAAAATGTTTAGAAAGTTTAGAAAGAAGACTAGAGAATTTCTTAAAATGTGCGCGAGTTATAACTGATCAAATGCCACAAAGGAGTCACCTAACACGGATAACACCGATAAACACGATTTTTGTGTCTAGGTTATCCCCATGTGTGACTGGTTCCTTTTATCTTATTGTGCAGGAACACCAAAGCTACAATGGTGCTGGTTAGCTTTTGTGGTCAGATAATTAATGTGTTGTGTTTTTACGTTTTATTACAACTTTATAATCAGTTTGCTCCGGAAGATCAACAAATGTTCTCTCTATCCTGAGAAGCCAGAGTCCCTAAACACCACAAACCATAGTAGATCCGTTGAGGAGCGAAAGCGAAAATTTTATAACACAGGTTTTTTGAAAACATTGCCGCTTTCATGTATTTTTGAATGTTTTCCGTAAAACAATGAGTTTTAAGCCATTTTAAAATGTGAAAAGATGAATAAAATGCAAAAGGAGGAACGATTAATTGATAAATACTACTATAATAAAAACGGCTGTATAACATACACGTGGTATATAGCGCAGTGAACCGCTGAATAACGTTAAAAAAGTGATAAGCGTACTTATGCGATAGCATTTCCCCACGTTCCATATACGTTACACTCATAATTGCATTGCAACTAGAGGATATTGGGAATGTCAAAAAATGGACCAGTCTTTTCATTCTATTATACTGTTTTATTTATTGTTTTAGAACTCGATGGCTTAAGTGTATAAACAGATTTAACTGGTGTCAGAACTATATTGCAATTAGTAAAATGGATTTTTGAATACTCAATATTTTAATGAAAAATAGGTTATCATAAATTCAATCACATTTTGAGAATTATCCTTTTTCAGATATTAGAGAAGATATTATTCTGACATATTCAGATGATCGTAGCTGACGTGCCAATTTTGTATTGTATTGTTTATTTTAATTTTCTCAGATTTCGTTGGCTGAAACTACTTTTAACAACTTCCTTTCATTAAAATTAATATTCATTAGACAGAACTAGAATTATTCAAGTTTGACAGGGAAAATTAAATTTGACTGACATTATTTTCTACAAGCTAAAAATAGTTTTAACGGAAATAGATGAGTTAAAAGTAATTTTACAAGAATCAGTTTCTCTACAAAACTATATTTGATATTGAGCCTTGAGGAGATTTTACGACTTCTGCATTACCATCAATTCTCCAAAATACAATTTTAATGAGAAAGGGTAATAAAGCAGACATCAATGTCTTTCTAAAGAACATTTTCTGGAAAATTATATTTTTTATAAGTGTAAAATTTTGCCTGGTAAATAATGTTTTTGGTAATGAAACTGGGTTCACGATCTCACTTAATCAGCACAGTTACAGATGGTGGGCTTATTATACTTTTTCCAAATTTCCATCCTAGGTTTCAAAATTGTGATCGTATTTTTTTCAGCTCAACTTAGTTAACATTTCGACAATCTGCTTCCGGTTTGTAAACATCTTCGATCTGAATAATTTCTTCGTCGTTATCATCAAGTAGAGAAACGGTGACGCTAGTGATACGTTTCATTTTCTTGGCTGCCTTGAACAAATGTTCGTGTTTCTTCCTGGCTTGTGTCAACTCCAGTGGTACTGCCACGATTCCCTTCTTCATTATCTCGACATTTTTTACGCTGTACTGTCTTTTTCATTCCTCTATAACACTCTAAAGTTCTTCCTACTTACTTATATTTTCGAGAACTAATGAAAATTTTTGATAAAAGTTTTTTAAATGCCCCAATTCAGTCAAAATCGATTTTAACTACTTCTTAACAAATGTCAGTCAAATCTAGTTTTGCGTAACAATCTTGGACAAATCTTTTTTTGAGTAGTAAACATTGATTTTCTTGAAAGGGCTTTGCTAAAACTAGTTTTAATTATTCAATACTAATTTTAATTGATTACTGGTTTTGACGGCGACATACATTATATATAATTTCCCAATACCACTAAATGTAAATTTGTATATTCATAAATTGAGATAAAAATATAAAACTTTTGTAGAAACGTAAGATGTTTCATTACATTTTATTACGTATTCATTTAAATTTTAAACGAAAGAAGGGTGGCATGAGTAGTATATTTCATTAATTTAAAAAATCAAATTATTGAATCCTCTTCCAAATGCGTTTGCAGATTTTTTGCGCGTTAGTCACCAAATAAGAAATTCTCTACTCTCAGTAATTATTTTAAATTGGGATGAGGATCTTGTGTATAGATGAGTTAATGTAACTCAATTATTAATTAGATTATTGAGTTATTTTAACAGACCTAAACTCAAGATCCACACCCCAATTGGAATTCAAGAGGTCAAGATACACAGCATCGTAACTATTTTATATTTGTACACGAGGCACTTGCACTTTCTTCGGCATCTAGTTTTAACTGAGCTCGATAATCTATTGACATTGCTTCGAGGTTAAGGCCAGAACCCACTTTCTGTGCAGCATGCCCACGCCATCGGCCAAAGTTAACTTAGGCTAAGTGTAGCTATACCAGTACACCCTCCAGGAATACATCGACTCGAATAGCACGTGCATGTGCACCCAGCCTCCGACGTATTTATTGCAACGATTGTGTCAAGACGTCTTAAATAGAATTTGATGCGTGCGTAGTACGCTACCCCACAGAGGCGACCACGGCGAGGGCCGTTCCAAACAACTTGTCAGCTGCGTTAGCACCTGTTCGCCTCTTGTCTCTGCGCTTTGCGACCCGCCACTATAAATTCTTTCGTTGCGTAAAAAAAAGTCTCGACGGAGCCCCCGTGCCCAGGGCCGGCGTGAGTGTCCAGGACACGGGCTGGCTCCCGAGCTAACGATCTCTCCGACACTACTCGCTATTCTGCTAAAATTGCTCCGCACAACAATCGTGCCTCCTGTACAAACGTCTATTTAAATGTATAGATTCTACCATGCAAACACGTCTTTCTGTACAATTAGTTTTAGTTAGCAAAACGTGCATTGCCAATTTTGATCCATCTAGTTAGTGACAGTGCGTACGATTCCATTAGGAGAAAGAGGAAAATTATTATAGGCGAGTACTGGAAGAATCATTATACTTGTATAAGCGATACGGCAATTATCTTTGTACAATAAGGCGTACGCTGAGTCTACCGCCTACACAAATCTCAGCCGCTTTCTCTAACGACAAGCTTCCTAAGTGACTAATGTGCGTAACTACCCATCTAGGTCCGGCGTCACCTACTGCAGCGTGCTGGGCGCGCACCTACCTCGTCGCTGATGATGAGGCTGGGGCGGCGGGGCTGGTCTTCAGGCGGGATGAGGGAGCCGCGCCGGCTGCCGGGGCCGGAGCCCGGCGCCAGCGAGCCCTTGCGCGAGTCGCCCCGTGTCGGCGTCTTCTCTCGGATCACCTCGATCTTGGGCGCGTCAGGCGCCTTGATCTCGGGCACCTTCACGCCCGGGGCTTTCTTGTCCACAGGCTGGGCACACAAAGAAGCAAGGGTAAGCGGCGGCGCCGGGTGGCCCCGCGGGCCGGGGCGAGGGCGAGGGCGAGGGCGAGGGCCCGGGCGCACGATCCCCCCGACGCACTCGCCCGCCCGCCCGAAGACACACGTCCCACCACCGACTCCACTCGGGCCTTACCATTGCTTAGGCGAGGGCGTTCACCACGCAAAACAAGTCATGGGTCGCAAAGTCGGACGCACAAACTAAGGGAGCTCCGGGAGCGTACCGCCTCCCGACATGTCTCCCGACGTTATGAGCTTGTTTTTGATCCTGGCGGCCGCGCCCTGGCACCCACAGGACCTCTTAGCCACCGCTAGCCTGACAATCTACGAGATTATTTATAAGTATCCTTCCAAACAATTCCCTCCTCATGGCATCTGCAATAGGGAGACGGCGAGAACGGCTTCTTTCACCCGATGCCAACTGGCTCCATTTTGAGGACGAGAAGAATTAAATGGCTGAGGAGACAGCGAAAGAAATTTGTATGGGGCGTTTCAAAACCCAGCTACTATGAATAACTTGAACAAGGGAGTGTTACATATGTAATGTGTAATACACGTCATATAAACGGCCTTCCTGCAGCCTTCACGCAGAGGCTTCTATTATACGACTAGCAAATAAGCGTATCTATTTAGTATGAAAAAATAATTCATGGTACTTGGCGTAACATTATATTTACGTTTTTTAACTTGTCTTTCTACGAAAGCATCTAGTCGTGTCTGAGTTGACCAATACTAATGTTATAACTACTAGCATTTGTGTTCGCTAAAAGCACTCAGGAGAAAATTCAATTATAGATGAAGTCAATTAATCAAGAAATGTTTAGAAGTGATTGCTCGTAAGTGATAGAGCAAAGAGTTTGGCTGAGCGTGTGCCACTCAAGCCACTTAAAGAATTTTAAGAGTCACACAATTGAGAATGTTAAATTTTATCATTTCACACCATAAAATAAGAATGAAATGGCTGTACTTTATTCATTTCTTCCAAAATGAGAAGAAAGTCGGAAGTGTACAAGCCGTAGACGGAAGAGGTCAGTAGCAGTAAAGAGAGAGAAAGACGAGTGTCACTCACAGTTCCAGTTGGTAATCAAGAATCAAAGATCCTCACAGACCGAAATTCATGAGATGATAGAAATAGTTTGGCAGAGCGTTAGGCCCCTTGAGAAAGTGAAAGGAATGCCGTAACCCATTGAGTAGAGAACAGAAATAGTTCAGAAGTGAAAGATACAATTAGTTGAGACGGAAGCTTCAAGTCGAGAGCAGAAACACACTCAATGGTCACAATCTCACCTTGAACGGATCAATTTTAGGTTCTGGTTGTGGAACTTGGGGCTTTTCTTCTTCCTGTGCGTCTTTCTCTACTGGCTTGAGACTCGGCCACTCTACGAACTGACCTTTCTTAACAGGTTGTGTGCCTACCCTTTTGGGTTTCAATAAGGGGGATTCTTTTGGCTCCAATTTCTCGACGAATTTGGGTTTCAGGCCTTTGTATTTATCCTTAGCCTCTTCGATTATGTCCAATGGAACATTTTCGGAGCCCAGGGCGTCTTCAATCTTGTAAAGAAAAACATTGAAATTTTTAAATGTGTAGAACATTTTAATAACGGCCGGAACTGAAAAAAAATGCATTTCAAAGGGTGAAAAGACCTCAAAATAAAAAATACAGTGGGGTAGGGATACAAATTAACTGTATTGATGAAAATTTGGATAAATGGAATTTGTGTGGAACATTTTCTCTGAAATAGCAGACATGTTTCACCGCTTGTCTCAATTCATCAATCTGGAATTATTCATTCCCTGATATTTTTTTTATTTACAACGTAGACAAAACCTCCACTTCTCGCTCCTTTGCATTTGGAAGGGATGGAAAGATCTTCAACAGGTTGTAAGAAACGTTTCCCCTTTGTTTAGTGCCTGGACCCAGATCGCAAGGCTTCGCCCAGGACAGTCGCAGCGGGAAACGCGACTGCGCGCAGCGGGAAAATCGGTTGCACATGACGTAAGGGGTGCAGAGGACGGCAGAGAATTTCGCGAGCTCGTCCGGGCATCGAGAAGTATTCTCGGTCCTGCCGTACAGCACAGCGCGCGGGCAATTTCTATCGAAACAAATTGACAACAAGTTGTTTTGCACGTGCCATTAGGATCCCTACGATTTCTAATTGTGTCGCGCGGACCAGGCAGCTCGGTGGGTAGCCGCAGCAAAATCTTGCACTCGTATTTTTAGGCCCTCGCTGCGGCTAGTGGCCACCTAGCAGCCGGCGCACGTGCTCGGGGCTCGCGGCCGTGAGATTCTCGGGCGCAAAGCCGTTTGTTCTCGGCTAGCGGCGCGGCCCGCCGCCAACAGCGCCCCGCCCGCCAGCCGCACCAGCCGCGTCGCCGACCGCGCTGCGCGCGCCTCACAAATTTCCTCGCGACAGGTTGGCAGCGCACGCCGCGCCGCCTCGCGCAGCCCCGCGGCTCCCAACGGGTCGGAGCAGGGCCCAAAGTCCGGCAGAGGGCGGCGGAGGGAGGATGGGCCGCGTCCCGAGGGCGGCGGCACGGGCGCGGGCGCGGGCGCAAAATAGCCGCTCCGCTGCCCGCTGTCATCGCTGGTCTGTCGGGGGCGGGCGTCCGCTCTCTATGACCTCCCCGCGCGCGTACGAACTTTTTTTATGCTCCTACAACTACCTCACAAGAAGGCCTGTTCAGGCGTCAAACACACGAAATAGCGAACTCATCGGGGAGTAAACACCCCGCGAGAGGCATTCCATGGGCAACGGAGCGGAAGAAAAGCGGATGAACGGAAACCGAGGAGCAGATGGCGTATTTCTGTAGCACCTCACCGACGTACATTGGCTAACGAATGTAAATAACATATGTGGAGAAACATATCAAAATGAAATAACTCGATAAGAGCTTAGTGGAAGACGTTCAGAAGGTTATTCTTTACTTCACGAGCACTATTCCGCACTCGCGGGCGCCATCAAGCGCAATGGTTTATTTGAAGCAATGATTCACTTTTTGAGTGAACACTTCCACTAAGCTGGAATGGAGTGAATGTGTTTCCATCTGTCGCTCCACAATTGTATTGTTAAATTTTGCGAAAATTTCAGAACGATACCGATTAACGAACGAATCGATACGATATCGATTAACGCAAGAAATGAACAACACGAGTATGAATTTAAGGCATCATATCTACATTCAATATTTACTTAAATGAATAATAAATATACATGTTTCCTCACTGAGATGTGCCCGATATCGTTACTTGTGTTACGAATACTACGTATTTCCTTCAAATTACTAGATTTTTAGAGAGGATGCAATGATAACGAAAGAAGTCGGAAATGTGGAGACTTGTTTACTCTGTGTTAATTTCAGTTTGAAAATCAATGTATTTCAGGAGTGCGTTGGAAATTTGAAAAATGTGGGTATTTCTCTGCGATTGACTGCCTGCACATTATGCTCGTGGAAAAAAGACGACAAAAAATTCTCGGGCGAGGCGAAGCGGGGCGTGGTAGCGTGGCTGGCGCGGTGAAGCGTAGCAGAGCACGGCCTCGCAAGGCACGCAAGTCTTGCCGCTGCCACGCGTCCGTCGATCGGCGCCTCTCGCCGCTCATTCAGGAAAGTCGGCGCGATGGCGCCCGGCCCGGCCCGGTCCGCCCCGCCCCACTCTATTATAGCCCTAGCGACTCGCCAGGCATCTCGGGCAGCTTCGCGCCTGGGAAACCACAGACTGGCACTGGAGGCACGCGCACTAGAGGCTCCCCCCCACCACCACCACCACCACGTCTCTTGCTCCCCTATCTTCGTCCCACGCTTGCGGCGTCGCCTCTTGAACCGTTCGCTTCTACCCGTCTTCCTTCGCGCCAACCTGTCGGAAGTTGACAGCGTCAAACGCCCGAGTCGAAAGCCATCGCGGTCTCCGCCATCCCGGCTTTCAATCGCTTCCACGTCACAAATAACCCGCTTCTCGCCCGCTTCTCACCGAATCGTGCGCTTCCATCCCAGAGAGGCTCGACCGCGCCGTCGCGGCCCGTCCCGCTGCCTCCGGGCTGCCCAGCGCCTTCGCTATCCTCTTCCCCTCACCCTAGCGGCTTACGACAAATCGTAGGCCAGCCGTGCTTTTGGCGGGCGGCTACTCCCGAGAGTTAATGAAGGGAAGGCGGATGGGGACAGCGTCTCTTTGTTCGAGGGAAGCGCAAAAAACGACGGCGCCCGCAATTGGCCTTCGCCGGGCGCCGGGCGCTGGGCGCTGGGCGCTGGGCGCTGGGCGCGGGCCGCAGGCCGGAGCGTGGCGGCTTATCGCGATGCCCCCGGCCCTGGCCTTGCGCCGTTTGCGCTTTGTTTCCCGCTGCTCGAAAGAAATAGAAGCACAACATGAACATTGCCAACTACCATTTACCACAACAAACCTCAATTCTACGTACTATTAGTGCAAACAACTCAAACAACGATTAAATAACCAAGACTACTACACCATGAACCATACCATGACAAATATAACCTATTTAAGATTATGCAATGCAATGGGACATCCCTGCAATTTTTGAAATTGCATGTAAGAAACTGTAGACAAATTAATGAATCGTAGAATGTTTCAATTGTTCAAACAAAATATTTGTTTTTTATATATGTTTGTTTAAAAATATTTATTCAGATTATTAAATTATAAGGAATTTCAAATTTATTTTAATATACATCACAATTTAATTAATTGAATTGATTTACATTTCACATCAAAATTATATTTGTGTTTTATATTTTTTATAACAAAGTTTCCGGTTTTAAATTTTTGACGAACAGCTTTTGTTTAATTCAAAATTGTTAATTCAAACATTAAATAAAATTCAATGACACAAAATGTGTTTTAGTTTTCATGTACCTGAGAACTGAAACGCACCTTGATTTTCCAAACATAACAAATTTAAAGATGAAACACATTTGGTTTTATTCAACTTTATTTAACGTTTGAAACAAACTTTGATTGTCTAAAATTTAACAGTGAAAACTTTATTATAAACATATCTTAGACAATGATAATTAAAATAAGATAATATTGTTTTACTAATAAAGTAGTACACGGGAAATTAATTGTAATCCATGACAAATCACGTGCTTCATTTCGATGCAAATAAAAGGCACAGCAACCGTATCAATTGTAAATAATAATTATTAATTGGTTTCGATACATACAAAAATTTTCCTCTCGCTGTTTCTTTTACAGGGAATAAAAAATATATCTATTATGCTAACGCAAAGCCTTCTGAAATGAAAATTAGCTAACCAACTTAAAATAAATAACTTCTACGAAATCACACCAAAACAAATTCAGCAGCTGAAAATAAAGCATAATTAACTACAAAATAAAACAAAATCTTCCATAAGACGCACAGGTCACTGGAAGCCCATAAGAGGCGACGATCACAGTAAAAAACAGCAGATTACTACACAGCAGCACGCTGTCAGACGCCACAGGACGCAACGGACGGACGAAGCACTGGAGCTACTAGTACTTGGGGCGCGGCTCACCTTCAGCGCACTCTCATCAAACGTATCCTCCTCCTCCTCCTCTTCTTCCTCCTCCGAGCTACTCATTCTAAACGCCATCGGGTTGTACTTGGGGGGTTTCTAAGCACCAATTTAGCGTGTCAGTACAATGCTCAAAAAGCAGTACTCGCTTACTTACGAGAAGTAAGCCAGTAATGCCGATTTGCAATTTCCAACTGCGAAATGCTTTATTGGGTGGGGCAAGAATTTTTAAAAAGATAAAATTTGGGAAGAATTTTTTACACAGCGCATTCATGTTTTGTAATTCGTTCTAAATCATTTAACATTCATTTACGCTCGAATACATATACAAGTCATTTACTCTCGGATACATTTTTCTATATAATTTTTATTTCTGTATATTAATATGAGACCAATAGCAAAACCGACAATATTAATTGGTTTACAAAATATACAGTTTTTTTAAAAAATATACCTTACCAATAATCTATTAAACACACAATAAGGGACGCAACCCGTAACACTCTCCAATTATGTCTTTGTTTTTAATTTCTCGTCCTTCTTTTTATAGGATTCATTTATTTTAGGAAGTTGAAATCTTCGATATTGTTCGTGATGTCCTTACTAGTTCAAAATATTATGCAATTTATCACAATTTTTAAGTATTTAAGCTATCGCGCCTTTGGCTGTGAGAAAAAAATCCGGACTATTCACTCGAAAACTAAAAATTGAGAATAAATTTTTGAAATATGAGTAGTGTTTTAAGCCATAATGTATACCAGTAGTATATAATGTAATTTAATACATTTTTATTTGATGTAAAACATTATAGATTTGGACATTAAATATAGATGCAAGAAAGTCGAAATTTTTTCATTTGCAGAACCAGAGATGGAATAACATTATTTGTTTACATGAATGCCCATATATATTAGTACAATAAATTTATCAATTTAGCAAAATAGTCCTAATCACAAATAAAGTCAAAATTTAAGCTTGGGTTGCAGAGCCACCCACCCACTCACCCCGTTGTTAATCCTTATTGGTACCATACGATTGTTAGAGTCAAACGAATTCGCACTGAAAGCCTCTATGCGCAATGTTCACTGTGCTATGTAAATAGGGAATTATCTTCACGCGCATTGTAACCGACTTCATTCTACAACAAAATTTTTATATTTCGATTTGCTATTTACCTCTGACCTCTCATGCTTGGTAGGCAAGGCTGTTCGTACAAGAGGCTTTCATGGACACAGAAGCACATTTGCACTGTCACAAAATAACTATTAAATATTTTCTTCGACAGAAACCATTTCCCTTATTCCTTTAAATTATTGCACCTAGTTTCAGCAATTTCATAATACAATTTTCAGATTTATAAAATGTCTTTTGTAGCTATAATCACTGTTTCTTGGAAATTTAGTGGGACTCCGCGGGAATTGCAATATAGTCGAAGGTTCCAAGTTCATTTTCAATGAATTAAATATAGAACCTTTACAATCTTATTTGCCGAACCTTAAATGACTAAAAGATTCATTTAATTAAATAAAATTTGTACTTAGCAACTGTCGTATTGTAAATCATTAAAAATTTTTCGAGAGCGAATCCATTACCAAAAAATCATAAGCCTAATTTCCTTACTAAAAATTGCATAGGTGCTTACCTTCACTTGTTCCACTGTTCTCTCAACCTTTTGAGTGACAGCCTTCTTCTCTTCCACTTTCTGAAGCAAAACAAATTTGTACCATTAGATAATTATCTACACAATAAAAACAATTAAACGCACATACTTCATTCATAAATAAATTGTATGTCACATGAAGTTATTTTATTCTGCCAATTTTTCGTACAAATTGCGAGTTTCTGTTGAAGATTTTAATCTACGTGAATTTCGATGTAATTATGAAATATGTTAATGTTGAGCAGCTTTTTTCTTTTCCAGAATTTCATTAAAGAGCGTAATTTTGTTTCACACTAGATGAATATAATATTATATACTATTACAGATAATATACGAACATTCAGATCCACGCACAAAGTAAACGAGTTTGTGACTGAATTATGCACACGTTTCAGTGTTATAATTTGAAAGTTGATCAACACATACGTATTTTTTATCCACCAACAATTAATCGATTTACACATATCAATGATTTTGAATGATTTTGAAACCAAATACTTTCGCGTACTATTTTGATCAGTAAGTTACTTTCGAAAAGTGAGCTCCTTCGAAAAAGAAAAAAAAAAGTGAGAGATAAAGGGAAAAGAAAAAAGGTTCTGTTAATCTTTTGAACTCTATGACAACATTAAAGAGTTGGTCTAGATAATGCCGAATATCATACGATACACAATTCCAATATCTCATCGGACATTTTATTTCCTCTTCTTTATTGGTTGTACTGTTCAATATACTTACTTCCCATTTCAATAACATGCGATCTGAAAATAAGATTAACATGTATATATTGGTAAAATGAGGCTTAGTCAAAAATTAAGTTTGGCAACATCGTTGAAACAAGTCTACAATGCCTCTGTAAACAATATAAAAACAATACTTTACAAAGAACAGAAAACTCATGATGAAAACTAAATGGACTACTTCAAATACTCTACAATAATAAATTAAACAAATTTCTCAGACTACAACAAAAACCACATGACCAACATTTTTTCGACATCAACAATAGCAATAATAACGACAAATACATCTCTACTCGACGAGACGGACAACACAGGACGGACGACAGACGGCAGACGAGAGCAGTGACGAGGACGACGGTGGCTACGGGACCGAATACCTGTGGTGGCGCTTGGGGAGGCGCCTTTTCTGCCTCCACCTGGGCCTGAACCTGGGCCTGGGCTTGGGCCTGGACCTGGGCCTGAGGCTCGGCCCCCGTCTCCGCTTCCGCTTCCGCCTCGGACTCCGAATCGCTGGGGACGAAGGCCATGGGGTCGTAGCGGCGGACCTGTGCCACAGCCGCGGTTTAATTCCCGTGGGCGCTCGCGCAGGACTAGTGCTCGGTGCACGCGCGGCCGGCGCACGCCCTATTCACTTTACACGCGTATCGGCTGCAGAGGACATGGCCCGCTGGCGCAGCCAGTTACACAACGCAATGTGGAGACGTAGGTTGTGCTAAAATTTGCATATACGTCTTACGAGAATTGTATTAAATTTGTGCATAAATCTATCACATATTATTCTGTTTTTACGTTCTGAACTAACCGTATCACGATTCAAACGAAAGATGACATCATTCTTAGGTTAAAAATTGATCGCACGTTTGTAGCTCTTTATGGTATTCATAATATATTTTCCTGACACTTACCCCCCAAGATAATTGTCATTTTTCATTATGCCATTCTTGCAAAGAAATTGGGGGGTACTGCCAGATGCGTTCGGCGCAAGATAGGGACAATGTGCTTTTTGCTTGGCACTTGTGGGATAGTTATAGAACTCTATTTCTTGAGAGGACAACGCCTGATATATTTAAAAATAAATATTCATGTTTTATTATTAAAAGCCACAAAAATTATTTTTTTTTGTAAAATAATGCACATTCACCCCTTCAATTATTTTAATGTTTTATTAACAGATACATACCGATAAGTACGTTAAAATTTCGAAAAGATTCGAGACATGCTATCTCATTATTATTTATAGATATGTTCATATATAGATATTTCATTTTCTCGAAATACAATACACATTACCCACGTTTAATGTCTGCCAAAACTTTCTCTATCTTTATCTATCAATTGCACCTTCGAAGCGGCTAATTGGGAAGAATAAGTGAGAAGCAAGAAGAATGGCATACGCAGTTTACAATATTTTGAAAAAAGAACTAGAATCTACCCTATGAAGATCAGTCAAATTAGCTACTTTAAAAAAGGAACGAGATGTGTGTAAACATTGTAAACAAATGACATTACGATCCGGATTACGAAAGTAAATTTTATGTTTATTATATCGTTTTCACCTTCTAACACTAACGATTTCTCGAAACGAATGAATGATTGGTTTGATGAATTATACCAATAGTAATTGTATAGTATACCATACCGCCAATGGTACCATAAATATTTGTTTCTGATATGCAAATGTACGCCGACATTTACCACCCATTGATTCACACTAAATATGTACTTTTCAATGCAGTATTAGGAATCCTTTCTGGAAAACAAACTTTCTTACAACTAAAGACTAAGTTTTCTACGTTTAGTTTCACGCAGACTGTGAAAGGCATCAATACATACTGCTCAGAAATATTACTTGTTTACCAAATAAAATTAATGATACAATCGAATAAAGCAGGGCTAGGAAATAGTCTAACTAAAACTATTGTACAATAAAAACACTATACTTTTTATTACTACTGTATGTTCATTTTTATGAGAATAATACAGACTTCATAATTACAAGACCTCCAGATTTAAGAAACTTTTCTGTAAAACAACTGAAAAAGTGAAATTTTAGTTGTTCTACATGTTGGTTAGTAAGTGTATGGAAAATGTTACCCACAGAAGTAAATTTTATATTTTTGTTAATAAACAAAATGTAGTTTGTTGAGAAATCAGTTAATGTGCTCCCCGAAATTAAAACACTTTGATTGTTTGTCATATTTTTTGAAAAATAATGACGGAATACTTTATAAAATATATTCGTACGTAATGTATTTACTCGAATGTCAACGAAGGATTTGCTAATTTCGAATTTACTGGAATGAGCCAAGTGACAAAAAAATCTATAAACCAGACAAAAACGAAAACTCTTGTGTTATCTTAACTAATTTACGTCTCTAAACTACGCACTATTCTACCAAAGCAACTACGAGCTATTTTTGTTTTAATATTCAAGAATATAAAAATAGCTATATAAACCAAGATCAAGATCATGTTATAGATTAATGTGTCAAAATGTACGATGTCAATACGTGGTCAATAAGAAGAGCCATTGATCATTAACGCCAAATCGAAGGGAAATGTAGGTGTTCACTGCACTACAGAATACTACGTTACAGAACAAGACACACAAAACTTTGTGGCGCTACCCTGAAGCTTAAAAACACTCCGAGAAATCGATTTTAAGTGTACCTGAGAAACGGGCTTCTCTTCAACCATCTTAGGGGTTTCGGGTTCCTGAAAATCAGAAGTCACAAGTGTTCTTATATATCAGAAAATAATGCGTTCTTCTATTTCCTAAATTTTCGACGGCTGCAATGCAAATGACAACACAAAAAACTGGAGTGCGTGAACATAAGTAATTAGGACACGTCTTCTTTTTCATATGAAGAGGATCTAAACAATAGATTAGAATAGAATAGAAAAGTTAGGCAGTTACCTTGATTTTTGTCTTTTTTTTGTGCCTGCCAGAACTGTACTTTTTTCTAACTAATTTTTTCTCGTTGGTTGATGTGGTGTTGAAAATATTGCTGATTTTCAGATATAGCCATAATGAGAAATTTTCAGGTTCAATATACTGTAAGTAGCAATTAATATTATCCAGCTTCTTTGATTAATAAGTTATTGAGCAACCACCGAACATCGATAGTATAATCATGGCTGGATTTAGGTACGTCGAGGTCCCAAAGCACCAAATCGTGCTGGGTCCTCCTCAAGAAGAAGACACACATGTACATTTTATAATGTAACTAAACTAAATTAATTTTAGTACACATTTTTTGGAATACAGTCTACTTGATTAACAATTATTTTACAGATACAAAGATGTTTTGCCTTTTTTCGAATATTTTATGCATTTTTTTTGGAATGCAGGACCCCTCATGGATTGCGGCTGCTATGCAAAGTTAGCTTGTAAGTCAATCGGTTTCTAAATATAACGTCTATTAAAGCGCATTGATATTAGAAATTGTAATAATACCAGTGCGCCTATTGTGCCGTGGTCCCGCAGCACTGTGTTGTATTACAGGTTGCCTACGTTGTAATACGGAAAGTCAAGTTTCATTTGAATGAGGTACTAGCGCAGTGGCCGGATTTTAAGTGTGTAACACTAAATATACTACATAATTACCAACAAATTTTGTGTGATATATTGCTTCAATAAATTGCATAGAGAAACAAACCAAACATTACAATAATGCGTTAATAAACGCTGCCTACACAGTTACGTTTAGCACGATGCTCTGTGACAAAATAAATACGATAGCCACGGCAAATGGACACATTATTGAGAAGTCGAATTTCTGGTAGACAGATAAGGACGACATGAATTACAGACATTACTTATTTTAATATTAAAGAATTAAATGTTGTGAGAATTGCAAGACAATTATTGCAAAATTATTACTTTTAGATATAGAATGTATCAGTTAATAATATAAGACTACAAATCATTTAAAGAGACTGGGGGACGACGAGAGTCGATACATCTACATTTTTGAGATGCTGATGCCAACATATAAAACACACGAAATTATTTCTTCCCATGAAATACAACCTTCATTTAAAATTCATTTTTAATTCTTTGCGTTGTGGTCAAGAACAAAACATTTTATTTTTTTCTGCGTTATTTGATACGTTTCATATGATATATCCACTGTGTTTGTTGTGTTTGTAATGGATTCGAAACACATAAGTTCTTCACACAAAAGTGACATTGCACACGCGTCATAAAATAAATATTATACTTTAACTATTTAATTTACATATTATATTTATTCTTAGATTTTGCTTATTTGAAGTTCATCAATTTAAGGGTTTGGGACAGTAAAAAGATAAGCCGTTCCAGCCACAGCAAGCCCCCCACTGTTTGTAAATGTTAAATATTTAGACTTGGTTGACAGAGGCGCATATCTTGTTATTTATATCTTGTTGATATTTACGAACTTTGGGCAGTAATAAAATTAATCACACTTTGAATAAAATTGAGATTTTACAATTTACGAATAGCGGGAGGTTTGCTGTGGCTCATTTCGCTTATCTTGTCTCAAACTGTCCCAAACTCTTTATTTTATTACGCAGTTTAAGAGGTTCGAGGAACAACAGTGTTTCATGTGGGCTCCATTTTTCGATCTCTTTATAAACGAAAGTTTGTCTTAACCAAAGTCAAATTTGATTAAATCATTTCACTCATTTATGACAGCATCATCTTTTTAAGATTAATATTGTGCACTTCTTGCACTTGGATGAATTACAAGTTATACGTCACACACATACATGATTAACTGATATCTCATGCTAAGGAAATATATAGTAGAATTTAGCCGCTTTTTCAAATTGGTTTAAATTTATGAATTCGTTTTAATTATTAAAATTAATCAAATGAAATAGGTTATTTACAATGTACATGCGCAATAGTATAAAGTGAGAGAGAAAAGTGAATTTCTGGAAACAATTCTTTATACGTTTCAGCCGAACTTCTAAAAAATTAATGAACTGCTACAATTTGTAGTTGTACGACTCGATTTTCGTCAAGGATATTCACACTTTGAAAAAGGAAATTTGTACTAGTAGAACTTGAAGAACATAATTTAATTAAATAATTTCATAAAATATTAAATAATATGCTCAGTCGTGTTTTCAAACTATTATCAATAGGCAGGGATAAGTGGCATGAAGAAACAACACTAGTCCATCGAAAATATTAAGGCAATCACACCATCCAAATAAATCTGTCATAAGTCTTAATACTATTTTAATACATTTGGGAGTTCACCAAGTATAGCGGCAGTATATCATATCATACGAGTATAATAATCAAATAACAAAATAAACTGAAATTAGGTAATGAGAACACATTTTAATTATGAAAGAAAACAGTAAGATTAGACTGACATTCTACTTTATGGTCAGTGAAATAATCTTAGCTTTCCTGTTTTTCGGGTATTTATTTCTCCCTGTTTAAGATATGGAAATATTCAACACTTTATAACATTTGTTATATGAAACCTCGCCGATAAAAACATATTGTAAATACATGATTACGTATGTGACTTTAGCACCTCTTCCCGCTTTTAAACAGATACATTGCAATGCACTTGATACAGAAGAACATGAGGGAAATAGGCATAAGCATTGTGCCCTTTTCGTCACATGTTTTTTACGAGATATTGAGGTTAACTTTGTTATTTTAGTGGAACAGTGCATATGCTATTTTGACCCTATCAAGACAGATATAAAACGATGAATCCCATATATTGTCAGATGTTTGATAAGTTTTTTTTATCAATTTTGAGTTTTATCATCCCACAACCTAGGGAATTTGTTAACATTTCGCCAGTCGACGGCATGCTATTCAAGACTATTCCTACCTCGTACTACACGCTCAGGTAAGGTACTTCAAACGACTAAGATACGTCTTCTATGGGATCACAAAAAAATTAAATAAACGAATTATGATTCTAAATATTTCATATATTTGGACTAGTTTTGTCATAAGCGAACTGAAATAAAATTGTTTTACACTAATTACATTTAGAGCGGAGTCGTGTTCAGTAATTAAAATGTTCACAATGTACTATCTACAAATGTTTCTGGAATTATTTAGATTCCATATAATAAATACACTTTTTATGAAGCTAAAGCCATTACGCTCAAGTCACGTTTTTACTGATTTTCTCAAACGTGACGTCTAGAAGTGGTGATAGGACACGGGAGTGAACAATCAGTATATCCTGCTTCATTTAAACGGTTGTCTAGGAAAAATGACTCAACAATTTCATCATCACTGCGCACTGGAAAACTCCTCCGTTAATTAGTGCCCTCTAAGGACCACTGCATTGTCAAATTGTATACCTAAATTCCTGTGAAAATACTAACATATGATACGTAATTGTGTTCTTCCTTTTATGATATATCTATCTGATGAGAAAAATATATATTTTCTTTAAAAAAATCAAAGATGATTCAATTTCTAAAAAACGAAAAATATTCTAAAGCATATTACGTATCACATGATTCCAGATTGTCGAGCTAAAACTGCACTTCGATATTTTGAACAGTTTAGAAGTTATGCGGGTGGCTTATAGTTGATTTGGACATTCTATATATGATTCCGTTTGAAAAGCTGAAGTTGCCTTCAAAATCTTGTAATATACAATTGAAAAAACGTTCACAAAATCTAATAGCATCAAGCTGCTTCTGAATGCACTTCTCAAAAACTTCACTGCAATGTCGTTAAAAAATGGAAAGAGTTGCTAATGTTAGGTCACCATGTCACCAGCACAGGTTAACGGCAATTTTTTTCGTGCGATTGTTACAACACTCATTTCGTGATCCCTTTTTATTGAAAGAACATAATTTATGAATTAAAAAATATCAAAGAATTTACCTTCATGTTTATTAAATAATATTACGATACGAATTATAATACGATATATAAACCTCCTCTCTCTAAACATGAATTATTATTAGTTGATCTACATAAAATGTATTCTTAATAGCTGCATTCATTCATGTCATATACATACAACAAAATCAACATACCAGCAAGAACATGAAAATGAGCAAGTTGACAATTATAATAATGTGCAAGAGCAAGTTATACAACAAACAAAAGTGCAATAATAAATAAAAGTGCTGAAAATAAAAAAAAGATATTTAGCGTTGTTATGTAAAAGATGAGTTATATAATTTTAATAAAAATGCATGTTGTGAGAGAAGTGAGAATTACAAAAATGTAGGTGAAATGTGAATATTGAAATGCGTATTTTAATATAAGAAGAATGCAAAAGAATAGTAATAATCGTGCAAATAATTGTGGACTGAGTATACCTTATCTATTTCAGGTACTTTCTTGAGAGATGGTCTTTTGTCAGGTGTCTAAAAAGTGTGTGACATACACAATGTCATTAAAAGTGTAGTAAATAACAAAAATCAAGTAACTTTGCATTTATACATGAAATGTTTTTATTATGCAAGTAATATGGTGAATGAAGTGTACCTTGTCGGTTTCTGGGACTTTTTTGAGTGATGGGCGTCTCTCTACCTCTTCATTCTACAAAAGGATAATATCCGTTTGAAACCCACGTCGCTAGAGAATCAATAATGAAAAGCTGATATGAACAAGAACCAAACAGTTTTGTAATTTGGAAATACCTTTTCAGATTCAGGAATTTTCTTTAATGATGGCCATTTCTCAGTAGTTTCAATCTAAAAAAAATATTTAACAGAATATGGAGAACAACGTCAAACATGCGAAATGTATTGACAGTAATCTTTATTGATATGATTAAATAAATATATATTGAAGTAGCGAAACCTGTTCAAACAGCCACCTCGATTAAGCGGTCACCTCCCTAATTGCCATTTTATTGTGTAACTGAATGATTTTTTCATTAGAAACTTATAAATGTTTCTTCTTTTAAGCGCCTACCTGGCTCCGCAGACAGCGGACAGGCGCATTTCATAGATTTGCAATTATTAACCGTTCACTCCTAGCGATTTTGAATTCTAATCGAATAGAGGAAGGATCGGTGACAATTACCGTTGATTCGTCATAGTGTGACGGAACGAATTAGCAGTGTCAGGATAGTGAGATCTAAAGCCCATTATCTCGTAATGGTATTGAAATGTTTCACATACCAACAGGCGATTTTAGTAAATGTTTGTCCATGAAATAAGAGTTAGCTGCGCTCCTTTGGAAGGGTTTTCGTGGAGTTTGCTAACCCCTGCTTCCCGCTTGGGGGTAAAGGGCTCGCGGCGTGCGAGAAACTGATTTGAAGTCCATTCGCTGTTTTGTCGGACAGACGGAATTAGACCTGATATCCCTTCTCTGTACGCTCGTAACCTTTATTAAGTGGCTACTTCTATTAACTGTCAATTTTTACGGGTACTGTTCGTGACTGCTGAAGACAGGTTTCACTGTATATAAATTATATATTTATTTCAAAATGAACTGAAGAATGTAAGAAAATTAATATCCTGAGAAAGAATTAATGAGAATTTTGTGACTACCTTCTCTGAATCTGAACTTTTTCTCAATGATGACCTTCTTTCTGGAGTTTCACCCTAAGAAAATATATACAATTTTAAATTACATTCAAGGTTCGGAATACGAGTACTAAATTGAATCCCCTAAAAGACATTTAATGAAAGAAAAATTCAACTTTCTTTGACAATCAACATGAAAACTAAGGAATTAAAAAAACACCTTCTCTGAATCTGGGGATTTCTTTAAAATTGGTTGCTTTTCTATATTTTTTGTCTATAAAAATATAAAATATTATAAATTAATAATTTTAACACTAAACTATCATCAAATTAACACTCTCAGAAGAGAGAATTTCATGACTACCTTGTCTGAATCTGAGCCTTTCCTTAATGAGGGGCGCCTTTCTGGAGTCTCATCCTATACAAATGTACAACGAAAATTTGTTAATTAAATGACGATTATAAACTTCAATGTCATCTTATCAACTTTTAATATTCTATGAAAATAATGTATTGATTATCATGTATTGTTAAAAATGTAATCTATATGTACCTTTTGTGTTTCGGGAGTTTTCTTTAAAGAGGGCCATTTCTCTGTTGTGTCCTCCTACAAATGCACACAGTGTTTTTTGCAATTAGATGAAATGTAGTTATAGATATGAATATTAGGATTCTTTAATATGTCGTGAGTTAGATAAACTCAATGAAAAACAGAATGTTGAATGTGTTGTACCTTATCTGCCTCTGCAGTTTTCTTTAGTGATGGTCGCCTTTCAACTTCCTCGCCCTATAATGCATGTGTAATTGTGAATGTTTCATACATTATCATATAAAAAATCAAAAAACAAACTTAAGTGAATGATTCAATTGTACCTTGTTTGTCTCTGGAACCTTCTTTAATGATGGACGTTTATCAGGTTCCTCAACCTAAAAATCATATGGTGTCAATGTATATAGAATGTTTTCAATATGTCTATGTTGAATGTTTATATAGAAAAAACATATAGTTAATTAAGTTCAGTGTAAAATTATGCAATTGTATACCTTGTTGGTCTCTGGAATCTTTTTTAATGATGGTCTTTTCTCCGGTTCCTCATCCTAAAATCATTTGATGTCAATGTAAATGAAATGATATCTGTAAACTAAGAATAAGTCTGTATATGAAAAATGTGTTAGTAAAATTCACTGTAATATTATGTTAGTGTGTACTGAGTGTATATTGTACCTTCTTTGTCTCTGAAACCTTCTTTAATGATGGTCGTTTCTCAGGTTCCTCATCCTAAAAATTATATGGTGTCAATGCAAATGAAATGATTTCAGTACACCAAAAATTATACCAGTGTACAAAAAATCTGTTAATAAAATTCGGTGTAGTATTATGTTAGTGTATAGTGAGGGTTGTACCTTTTTTGTCTCTGGAACCTTCTTTAATGATGGTCGTCTCTCTGGTTCCTCATCCTAAAAAGTATATGGTGTCATTGTAAATGGAATAATTTCAGTACACTGAGATAATATCAGTATATGAAAAAAATGTTAATAAAATTCCGTGTGATATTAATTTATTGTATATTGAGTATATTGTACCTTCTTTGCCTCTGGAACCTTCTTTAATGATGGCCGTTTCTCAGGTTCCTCATCCTAAAAATCATGATGTGTGATGTAAGTGGAATGTTTTCATTGTGCTAATATTGAATGTCTATATAGAAAAAAATCGTTCATGGAAGGAAATTGAGTGTATAATTATTTAAGTGTTCATGATACCTTGTTTGTCTCTGGGTTCTTTTGTAATGATGGCTGTGTCTCAGGTTGGCTACTCTAAAAATCATAGTGTGTCAACATGAACAAAATGCTTTCTTGGTGCCAAACCAGTATGTTGATACATGTAAAATTTACATAAAAATATAATTTTAGTGTCAAATTATGAAAGTGTATATGAAATAGATGTACGTTATCTGATTCAGTGTTTTTAGTGTTGCTTCTCTTGCAAATCATTCTATAAGCAACTTCATTGTTTTGTTTAGAGAAATGAAATGAATGTTTATAATAAATCCTAAGGGTAAGGGAGTGAGTTAGGTGTTTCAGTGAAGTATGCAACCTGCCTGAATAGAATGAATGCAAATCAATTAAATATATGAATGATTTATCTTAACCGAAAGTTATCTGAAAAATCTATTCATTAATGATATGAAAATGGTTTAGATAATACAGTTAATTATAATTATTGGGTGGAAATGTGTTATTTTCATTGTTATTTGTTATTTTTTCAATAAACATATGGATTTTTTCTGGCACATTCTGAATCTCACATGTACTACATTACTCATTAAAGGAATTTTTGCCATTAATCATAAATGGTCGGTCATTTTTCTCAGTTATTCAATACAATTTCTGGTGAACTCAATGAAATGCATGACTTAGCACTCATTCTATCTCATCAGATTGTGTCAAAAACTACAAAGCAAGAAATTTTATATTACATGCAAGTAAATTGTGTACCTTATCTTTCTCTGGAACTTTCTTAAGAGAAGGCCTTCTGTCCAGTTCGTCAGGCTAAAAAAGTGTAATAGTATGAGATGATAGGTCATCTTATTAATTCACGAAATCAGAGCAAATTGTAAGTACCTTTCAACTTTTCTGAGCAAAGAGAAACTTATAATTTGTTTAAACTACGAGAATTTTTACATTTCATCAGTTTTCACAACAGAACCCCTTTGATAATTTTATTAGAATTTGGGCATATAGATTTACTTGGTTTCATTCACTTGTAAGTTTATATTTGTACGTTGAATATGATATTCCATTTTTGTTATAACCAATATAAGCAAAAGGTGATGAGGGCGGTCATTTTATAAGCCGCCGACCACCGCCGAAATTTGCCGGACGATGAGCCTACGGTGTCCGCTAGCAGCGCTCGCGCGGTTTCGGAGCAAATGCGCAGTGCCATCCCTACGCACTTCTTGCAATACTACTCCCCGACAGAAGGGGCTTCAAATCACGCGGAATAACTGAAATGTGATTTCGAATGCTCTCACGCATGCCATCTTCTGAAGTCCTTGCACACGTTTAATCCTTCGAACGTATTCGCAGAAAAGACTCAGAGGATTAGGGAATGTGGAAGGCCACAAATTAGCGCCTGTTACTTTTTCATGGTAGCCTCGCGGGTTTCGCGAAATACGATGCAGGATTGTGTCAGAATATCTTTCAACAGAGTGTACCTCGGTCAAGAAACCTAGTAAGCAGTTTCAGTGCCTTTTCTGCTTCAAGTTCCGTAAGAAGCAACGGGAAGCTTCGCGGATTTGCCCCGGGGCGTCGGGAGCTCCGCTGGCCAAGGCTCTGAGCGCCGCCCACTTATAAAATGTCCGCCCTGCACTGTGTAACTGAACTGGTTTTTAAATTCAAAATACTTAAGTATAAAAAAATGTGATAATAATTAAAAATAAAAAGCACTTAATTTACCAAGCTGCTTTCAAACAGTCTAAAAATATGAAACCAAAATTCCCCCCTTAAACAAAACTAAAAAAATGATTTGTGATGTATTCAATAAATATTTATCATACCCGGAAAAAAAGAACAGTTGCGGTATACCAGATCCATGATACTGTAACAAGTTCCCTTGCTACAGTATCATGGATCTGGTATACTGCAAGTGTCCTTTTTTGTGTATTAACACATTTATCATACTGTATTCATTAATAAAAAAATAATTTTAGTTCAGATAAATGTCCTCTTGTGAAAGAGAATGTACATAAGTAATGTACGAAATGTAAGTAATGTATGAAAAATATTTTAAAATGTTCTAATGCAATGTTTCTGTTTGAAATAACATTTCAAATGATGTGTTATGTATAAATAAGTCATAATGTGTTGTATGTACCTTTTTGTCTCCCAAGTTTACTTCCTTTAGTGAAGGCCGTTTCTCAGGCTCTTGAGGCTACAAAAAAGGCAAAATGTAATAAAATGCAAAGTATAAATGTATAAATGTTGTAGTATATCAACGATAAAATAATAAAAAATCAGCACCTTTTTCTCGGCCACTTCTACTTTCTTTAAGGAAGGCCGCCTCTCAGATACGTCATTCTAAAAGGAAGTTTAATGTTCAGATATCAAACACTTTTTAATAATTATAAAATTCGAAAATGTAATTGTAGAATGTAAATGTGGTGTACCTCTTTTGGTTGCAGACCAGATCCTGTCTTGAGGGGAGCTGGTTTCTCTGGTTCCTCATTCTGTAGACAAGTATTCAGTGTGTGAGCAAATATCTGTGATCTGTTAGTGAGTATAAACTGTCCATGTTTCAAAGATCTCGCAATTAAAATGTTTAAAATACTGGCAAATTACTAAAAAAACAAATATTAATCGGTAGCTGTACGTCATTCATATCATTCAAAGACATTTTCTACAAAATAAACAAGGACAAAACATCTTCAATTATCCAACTGGGGAATGTAATTCAATCACAAGAACCAAGAGATGAAAACTTGTCATCTATGCTACTAATTAAACCCAAACCAAGGATTTATTATTAGTAAACGATCACAACAGATGAAACAGAATACCAAACAAATCACTATTGCATTTGAAAATAAATGAGTCAATTCTGGAAAGAAGCATAGCTCAGAACTATGGATTCCGTGGCATCATTTACTTAACGTTTTTACTTTAATATATTTACTGCCAGAGTACTGGCTAAACAATGTGTATGTGAAATACAATATATTATACAACAATATTACTATTACTATTTCATTATTAGTTTCGTAAGTATGTACGGATTCTACTTCACGTTCTGAAAAAGTCTACATATAATATAGATAGAAAAACATGAGCATGTCATCTTATCACTGAATTTCTATTGATGAAAAATAACAACAAACAAAACAACAACACAATACCGATGAATTTTCCGATATGAAGGGTAAATGCATAATTCAACTGAAAGAAGACTAAAATGCGATATTGACCATAAAATTTCTTGTATGAGATAATAAGATATTTCCATTATTATAATGATGATTTTAGCAATTCACTTTGAAAAATATGATGAATAAGCATTCTACAAGCTAAACATGCATCTCTGCCAGGAAATCTACTTAAAATCTACAGGTAGAAACTTGACCAACAGTTTTAAATACTCAATGTTTTAGAAACCAGTCCTGCTCACCTTCGGTGCCTTTGTGGTAGTGGTAGTAGTGGTAGTAGTAACAGTCTCTACTTCTTCCTCACTTTCCTGATTACTATGTACCGCAACATCACTTCCTTTACGCATCTAGGAATATGCAATAATGCGACTTCATTGATAAGAACTATCTATTTATCTTTTATTGAAATAGAAGAACACACAAGATGTTTCTAATAGAAGACTGTTATAAAGCAGACATTTCTTACGATGGACAGCTCTTAAGTAGTTTATTTTCAAGCGATATAATTTATTTGCGCATAAATGTTAATTATTAGTCATATCAATTTTTACGGATGGTAATTACCAATGATTACCTGCTTTCTGCGATACTGTTTTGGGCAAAAGTGTTTCAAAATTATTCCAAATATATCGTCAAGAGCATGTAATGAATTATTATGTTGTGCTGTCGCAAATCTTGCGTCGCACAACAGCGCGTTTGGGTTCTACAAAACTAATTCTTTAAACAAGCTCAGAATAGTAATATTAAATAAGAAATACATAAATTAGAGTTGAATTATTGAGTGATTCGAGTGTTAACTCTTCCTCTTTGTTTTGTTAGATTTTAGTGCTTCAAAGCGAGTAAGTAACAGCTCTTTAACGAATACTAATTACAGTTTTCTGTTAAGAAATGACATTATTCGCAATGTATCCTTTAGATAATGAGTATCGGAAACGTGGAAGGAATGTGGCAAAGACTAGGGCAAATATGATTTTCCTCGTCTTCGCACTTACTAAATATCATACTCGTTGGAATCATGATGTTAAACTATGTTGGACAGTTCATCCGTTTTCAGTTATCTGTCAAATATTTTGAGTATTTCTCCACAGTCCCTTTAGAGACCCCTGATGATCATCAAGAAATCATATTATTTTTTAAACATATTGTTCCTAACTCTCTAATCATTACTTTTTCTCGAGTGAATAGTACGTGTTTATTAATCGATATTACGAAATCAGTGCTTTTAGTTTCCTTCATTCTTTTTGATACATTTTAGCTATAGTGATAAAATATTCTCCAAAATGCCTCATTATTTCCAAGAAAAATATTCTCATTGGTAATGGGTTTCTTAAGATAATCGCGTGACGAATAATTTCTTCTTATAAATGTTCATTGAAATGTATAAGAGTCAAGAAAACATGAATGTTTCGTAAATTACGACAAAAGAAAATTTTATGTACGTAATGTCAATATCTTTTAGTGTATCGCATTTCCATGTATTCGCGTACTGAATAAAGTCAGTCACAACAGTTACAGCATCATCTCGTTAGATGGCCTTAAAGGTCATAATCGTGCAAGATAACATCAATTCAGAAGTTCTAATTACAGAAACAGTGACTAACACAACCTATTGGCTGAATTTAAATGTAGGTGTTGTGGTAGGATATCTTTGGCATTTTTAAAATAATTAAAGATGTTGTCATTGCCAACAATGTTTTTTAAAAAACATTGTTGGCAATGACAACATCTTTAATTATTTTTGAATTTAAATGGTCTACCAGATCGTTATTGCAATTTAGTTTATAGCCCTCACTCAAATTAATTAGTTTACATATTTTGTTTTTCATTACTGTCGTAAACAATTACCTTCTCGCCTTAACAATTTTCTTATGCTCGTTTTCAAAATTATGTAACGCAGCAAAAATAGGAAATATTTTGGAACAATTTTGAAACAGATTATTCTCGAATGGAAACAACTACATTATTGCGATATTTTCTAAGTCATACAACGTTTATATTTTCGGGTTGAATAAATAACATATTTTCTAATCTCGAATATATTAGTAAAATAGAATGTACTCTTACATTAAGTCCCTGATATCCATATAATCTTCGTTAGAGTTTTCCTGTGGTACAGTCAAAAAAATTGGTTAAAAGCGGATCCAAGAAGAATGTCCCTCCCCCACTTGAACATGAAAAATATACATACTCCCATCTCAGTAAATAAACTAAAACGATATTTAATTTATTATAAACTCGTTAGACCACTATTTGAATATAATAATGGTTAGATGCGTCAGAATAAATGTTACAGACTTCTGGGACATGTCGAGGGATCTAAGATGATCACTTTTTGCCAATGAACATATGATGGGAAATGTCATATAATTAAGTTACACATGTGACAATTTTCGCTGAATGTTAGGCTACTTCTTACGCACTATTGTTTAGCAGGTAACAATCTGACGCAGTCACAGAAATTTCGTATACTTGCCGTGCATGAGGAGTTACCCAAAAGAGGCAATTCCTTTTTGTGTAACTTCGTTATATGAAATTACCACCCCATGTTCACGGGGGAAAATATCATTTTCGATTCCTCTTCGCCGCCAAAAAGTTTGAGGAACATTTATTTTCTGACATATGTACATGGCATGAAATCATTTACAGTCATCCCCTAAAAAACTAATTTCGTACAAATAATTTGCTATCTTATCTTGCACCTTCCGCTTAAGCATTTCTTGCATCCGCTTCAGAAGTTAGTATAAGTCTGCAAGTTCAGTATAAGTCTACCAGTGCTGTATGAGTGAAAGTGTACCTTTTTGGGCTTTGGAGTGTGTTCGATCTTAGGTGGTTCAATCTTTTCAGCATCCACAAGCATTAACAAAAATGAGAATAAGATATGTATCTACGTTTCCAAGATAAAATTTTAGGGATACATTATAGAATATTAATTGGGTGGACATTTCTCAACCGAAAATATTGAAGGATGAATCTTAGAAGACTTAATGGAATATAATGCTGATGGATAGTTTCTAAAACCTGTTTCGAATGGAAGATTCCAACTCATTACACAAAAAAGTTAGTATAGATGGGGCCTCATAATGCTTCTCCCCTACTATACAATATTCAATGAGTTGGTCACACTGTAGCCACTGAATCAACCAATCTCATATTCATAAAGTATTTAATAATTGTTAAACGTCGAACAAATACACGCTAATCTGAAGGAAGAAGGAAGAATCATTCACTTATTTATTTTGCATAAATATCTATTGAGAGTGAAATTTTCAAATACAGTCAATGCACACCTAATTAATTTATAAATGATATATTTCACTTGTCAAATTAATATTATTATTTAGTAAATATTTAATTGTGTGGAAGTGAACTTATTTACACAGTAATTATTTGGACAAAGATGTAATGTCAAAAACTACAGGAGAAAAACATGAATCTTCCAACAATTGCATCTATGTAGAAAGGTGTCCATACAGTGGAGGCTCGTGCCTGTTCGCAAGTTCGCATGTGCACACCCAAATTAATTCGAGGCATTTCTCTTAAATATCTATAAAAAGAGGATAATACAAGTCCTCTCAGAGCGGAAACATGGAATTTCAAAACATGGAAGCAGCGGAGGAAGCCAGCCGACGCACACTCGGAATTGCCAACGAGTAGAGCGCGTCGTAGGCTGCCCCCTGGCTGGAGAGGAAAATACTCTATAGCAAAAGTTTTCAATCAACGTGTACAGTAGAACTCTTAACACTCCTGGAAAAACTGTTCCGGAACGTGCTGAGTAGTTACGCGGTAATCTGACTCTAGTAATAAATATTTCGGAGGGGTCCTTGGGTTCTTGCCGCAAGTCGAAGCAGGTGTGAAAAGAAATGCGGGCAACCCTCACTGCTGACTAAAGATACCGTTCAGCATACTATCAGACTTCTTAAGATGCTCTGAGTTTAATTGTCATTATTTATGTTAATGAATATATGTATGCATGAAATGTATGCCTTTTTGTGTGTGTGTGTGTGTGTGTGTGTTTTAGAGACAGAAGGGGGGAGAAGAGGGACGTTTCCCTAATGGCATGACCACGAGCTGCCACTGTGTTCATATATAATCCCCTTCTTCTTATTCTGTCCCCCGCTTAAGACTTAAGCATTCGGATTTGTCAAAATCAGAAACCAAATCTAATGTCAACAACCTATATTTTATGGACCACACATCATCGGATAACGTAAATCTACTTGCAACTATAAGTACATCGCCACAATCGGATGAGGAAAATTACCGAAAGCTGGATAAAGAACTGTGTTAAAAGGTATCTGAAAGCCAGGAAAGTCTAGGGAATTATTATACTCTCCAGAGAAAAACAAATTGTTGCCCAAGTATCCACAAATACAAAACCGTGCCCGTTAAACCCATAAGCGCGTGTGAAACACAAAAATGATTCTGCTAAAGACAATACAAAAGGTGAAAAAGAAGTTATTCGAAAGTAACTTAAGGTTTTTATGTAGATATTCTGTTTCATAGTTAATTTATACATGCTTCTCCGTTCATGAATATGTTTTCTTTATTCCTTCCCCATAGTAAGGAGGGTGTCTCGAGTTACGCTACGAGGCCCACGGTACAACGCACCCTTGTACATTGATTCACTTAATATATTTTTTAAATTGAAATATCGAAATTTTAAATTGAAATATGAAATAGAATATTACGCAACAATTATCGCAATAAAAACATAGTTTAAGTTCCCGTTGAGATAATGGCTCAATGTATAAGAACTGCTCCAACGCACCAGTTACTAGCAACAAGCTGCAAGCAATTTTATTTTGCTTTTTGTGAAGAAGGATCGACGATTTTTGCCAATGAAAATGTAATGAAAAATTTCGCATAACAAAATTACACATGCCTCTGGTTGATAGGCAATTCCTCGAGCACTAGTATTCTGAAGGCCACGCTCTGAAGCACCCAGAACGTTTTCGTGTAACAGCAAAGCTCTACTGCATTAAAAAATGCGTATCAATCAGAGACAATTGTCACACGAGTAACTTTGTTATATGAAATTTCTCACCACATTTCACTATATTATTTTTCGTAAATAATGATAATTAAACTACATTCATTGGAAAATATTGCTCATCTTCTACGTGCCCTATTACATGCCCTAGAAGTTTGTAACATTTATTCTGAGACCCCTGTAATAAAAATACTTAATATTCCTGAGGCTTTTGAGATTCATTATTCCCGCGCGAACGTTTTTAGTTATTTATGACTTCTACCAAGCCAACAAATAACATTAATTTCAATGTATTTGATTTATTACACTTAATAAATACGAAAATACAATGAATATGTCTACTTGGATGGAATAGAGCTTAAATGAGAAAAATAACTTGAACCTGCCTAAACTGAACCGCTTTATTTCAAATCTCTCGAATTCGAACCACACTCGAACTTCTCTAACTCGAACAACGCCCATTCGAACCTCACTAACTCGAAACACCCATTAAAAACTTGAAAAATCTGTAAATTGCCACTCTTGCTTTGAAAGATGCACTAATAGTAATTATGCATTGTTTTATCTGACGCTAAATTGAAAACGGGCGATTACGATACGGCCTGGAGGCACTTGGGTTTGGACGACACCCTCGGAGTGTGTAAGACTCCTAGATAAATACGTAACTATTTTTTAATAAATTTCAAAGGTATGAAGTGATGTGGGTTATAATTATGTAAGTTTAACAAAATGTTAAATGCATATTTTAATACAATATCTCATACTATTAGTGGTACTTGGTTTTAGATCTATTTTAAATGTCCTAATCTCTAAAATCTTGGGGTCAAAATCTGACGGGAGTTTGATGGGGGACGAATTAGAAATATGTTTTTAAAATGCTGTAAAATGAGTGAGTTCACTTTTTAAGTTTTTGTTCACTTTAGAAACAGGTGCCATTAAACGGATACCTGGAAGCTTGTACAAGTTTTCAGGTTACTAATATTCTTTTAGATCTTTGCGTTGCATTGTTTTTTCGAATGAAAACAAATACCTTGGGGGCGATATATGGACACCTTACCCTACCAAGTGTTTGCAAGAGAACTCATAACCAATTCCTTAGAAACAAAAAAACTTCCGACATTCCCTGTAGTACGTCAATACACTTACCTTACTCGAACCATACTGTATATTGTGTACGTAGGAAAATGAAAAGTTTAAATGTAAGATGCACACAATAATTACGGGCGTCCCAGAACAAATGTTACAAATTTCTAGGCCTTACAGAGGGGTGGAAAATGATCAGTTTTGACCAAGACGATATAGTGGGAAATTACATATAGCGGTATATACAAAGGTAAGTTGCCTCTAATTGTTAGGCAACCTCGTATGCACAATCATTTGGCAGGTTCATGAAATCTCCTTACCGACGTTAGGACGCGACCTGCCGAACATCTGTGCATAAGGATTTGCCTAAAAATCAGGGTAAAATGACAGATGTATAACTCGTAAGTAACTTACATGCAATTTCCTATATGTTCATTGGCAAAATATGATCCAAATTAAAGCGTGACCCTCTACATGCTCTAGAAGTTTCTGACATTTATTCTGAAATAGCCTGTACAACACGAAAAAACCAGTCAGCTTAACTAAAGAATGTCCTACCTTTTCTTTGATAGATTTTTTCTCTACTGCAGATGCACGTCTGGATGCAGATAGAGATTTTACTTCCTCCTCCACCTAATAGAGTAAGCAAATGAATCTGAGATGTTTGTAATATAATTGTCGAAAATTTTGCCAATCAGTTAGCGAAGCGGATTAACGAATCTCCAAGCGGTGGTAAAAATATTATGGCACAACTGAAATAACACGCTGATTAGTTATCAAATAGCTTTTTCGGAAACGTGTTAGTAAATGCTTTCAATTTAATGAGAAGGGGGTTTAAAATAATGTTTACGGTTATGATTAGACAAACTATATGCTTTTAGAAGAAGCAGGATCGTACTGGCGGCGGCCTAAAAACATTCTTTCGACTTCTTTTCGACTTCATTTTCAAAATAATTATAACTTACTGATATAACCAATATCGTTTCACCATCAAACAATATCGAGCTGTCTTATTTACAGTCAACAAATAAATTTCGAGTCACAAAGTGCTCTGTCATTCATGTGAACTGAGTGAGTTTGAAGAAAATAAACAGCAAGTTGCAAACTCATAACCATTTCATGTTCCACGGGCTTCAGAATTCAGTGGAAGGTACTACAAAGCTACGAAGTTTCTTAAAAGTGGAAACGACCATCTGCGCATTGTAAACATCATGAACGATGTCTCAAATTACTCATTTTTCAAAATCATCCAGTAGGATTTTTTCCTGTTTCTTGTTCTGACAAAAATAAAAAAAACTTTCATACATTTTCCATTCGCGAAAAAATAAACAACTGCTACATATTTTGAAATAACGTGTCGTACATTTAATAAATAAAATCGACAGTAGTACCTCTTTGTGCCATTCATGTGACTGGCCTGTGCGAAACAAATGATTTTTTTCTATTCACGAATGCAATCCTAACACAAACATAAATGGTTGCCCTCTCTAAAGCTCGGGCAAGAGGTGCAAGGGACATCGTATTTTATTTCTTCTGTAGACAGCATTCCACCACTTCAGCAATAATTTTTCTCTATCCACTTCGAAGAGTGTGGATATTACGACGACGAAATGGTGGTTTTCTCAAAGATTCCCGGGAAGACCCTGGAACTTCCTCTGCCATAGTTAATCTACATATTTTTCACAAAGTTGTGAAGTTAACCGTGTTCAATACAAATGTCCAAATAAAATTCTATCAGATGAACGTTGTATAAAGAGAGGGAAATAATAAGTAAGTAAATCAAATAATAGTAAACCGAAACCATTGAAGCAAAACAAAAGTAAAAAACGTAAAATAAGAGAACAAGAAACACACAAACTACTAATCGACGCACCGGCAAAAGAAATACTACGATTATTTTGAAGGTCTGAAGTTAATGATGGCAGCATTGTAAATTGGTACTACGTTCCGTTACGAGTCGGACCAAAGTATCTCAACGGTCAGTGCTTTTCAGCGCTAGACAAGATCTATAGATGGAGCTCATGTGTCAAGAAAAATTCGCGTGAGCATTAAATGAGAGGGCGTAGATGGAAAGAGCAAGCGATCCGGTATTGAACTTCCGGAACTAGAAACTGCACGTTCGACCAAAGTGGCAGCTGATATTGTGATGAAGGGCTATCTCCAATTTTGCATCATATTTTGATTAGATACATTGCCATTTAAGTTCCACACGCGGCATTTGCTACTGATTGCTAAAAGCACTGGTGCATCGGGCTATCCACATAGCATCATCTTTGATCCCTCAACATGCCTTAGAAGTTTGGAACATTAATAATTCCGATACAACCAGTAGTTACGACACATTTAAACTTTCTTTTCAAAATATATGTATGTTTTACTGCTGGATGCAATTATTTTCAATAAGGATTTTACAAATTTGAAGGCTCGTACAAACGTATTCCCACTGACCTAGGCTGGGCGCCATCTTGAAGGGAGATAGATTAAGTGTTGACTCACGTGGTACTCTAGTACAGATTTGCGGACCGCAAGCGCTAACAGCAGATTCAGAAAAGATTAACAGGTCCTGAGCCTGTCCCAGCCTTTACCGGCCCCGACCGTTTTCGCTGCGTGTTTTGGTTTGAAAATGCAAAGTCTGTGACAACTGTTCCACGTACTTTTCATACAGAGTATGGTCAAGATCATCCCTGTAGGTCTACAGTTTATTAGTCAACCTCCAATGCAAAAGTGACACAAGTGCGAATTTCTGATTTCTCAGAAATTGCAATTTTAAGTTTCGTAGTTCTGTAATACTCGTTATAGATTGTACCAAATATTCACCTTCTAGCGGACAGTAATTGAACTAATTGAAAATCAACTTCAGAATAGTAGCAGTACCTCTTGGTAACCTCTTATCAGCTTTTTGCCGAAAAATGACGATTTCGCACTTGTGTCACTTTTCTATTGGACGTACGCAGTGGCATAAGTGTTTCAATTAAACTGAATGAACGGTAAGACACTGCAGAGCCTCTGGTCGAACACACGTGTCCGACGACGTAGAACAAGTAAGGCAAAGTTTTATTAACAGTCCTAAAAAATCAACCCGGTATGCTGACTGTCCCACATATGACTGTTCGGGTTGTGTTGAGAAAACGGTTGCATCTCACGCTATACAAGTAAACAATGGTGCAAGAACGAAAATAAACTGATAAGATTGCTCGTAAGGGCTTTTGTTTGGAAATGCTACATGATGATTGGGACGAGAAGCGGAAATTGTATGGTGCCCACTTAGACCGGATCTAGCATCGTCGTTTTTTCTCTTTTGGGGGTCATCAAGGCCACCGCTTGGTCCACCCTTACCGGGTTTTCTACCAGAGCTAGAATTTGTCTTGCAGTTTATCATGTTACACCTGATAAGCTGCAGCTCGTTTGGCAAACAATTGACATTAGATGGGATGCGTCCCGCATGCCAATGGAAGCCAAATTGAATCTGTTTAAGTAAAACTTGATGTATTTGGCTAAATATTAACACCAAAATCATATCAGTAAGTTAAATGAATAAATCAATACGAGCCTTCAAACTTGTAAAGTGCTTATTGAAACACCTCATATTTTACGAACGACTTAAAGGAAAAATGTTTACAATCGATAAATACAGTCATGTTTTCGTTTCAAATGCGTATACAAACAATTACATTCTTAACTTACCAACAACGATTTTTTGTATTGACTGGACAGCACACCCCGATCTGCCAGCAAGTGTACCAGTTTGGAATAATATCGGGGAACTTTACAGTTGATCGCGAAGTGTAGAGTAATCGAGAACGCCCGCCAACAACGATTGATGAAATCATGCGAGCCAGATATGGTTCAAAGCCAAGTGAGGGTGAAGCGGCTTTCCAAACATTCAAAAAGCGTGAGTATGGCAAAACTGTTTCAATAGCAAGAAGCAGCCACTCTACAAATACACCAGAGAAGTTGAACGCAACGTACACATTAGTCAATGGTGCCGATTAATTAGGATTTTAAAGAAAGCCATTTTTGTTAAGAAAGATCTATTATTCTTCCATATACCGCAATGATACTTGTTTTTTAAAAACAATTATTTAAATTATAAACCATATAAAGAGGAATGCAGATGCTGATCTGCTTCATTATAAAATATTATTTTTGGATACAATGCTTCTATAATAGAAAATTCGCTATCCTTAAGTGCACCGGACTCATGCATATGACATTCCAATGTACTAATGAAATAAAATTAAAAAACACTGAACTTACCTTTTGTGTTGATAGTTTTCTTTCTTGAGTAACTTTCTTTTCTCCTTCCTCGCGGACGACCTGAAAATCAGGGATACATTATTTTTCGGTATGATCACCCAGTTTTGTCTTACAAAGCATAGAAACTAATACAGTAGAACTTGCTTAGTGCGGAACCTCAAGAAACAAGTATTGTTTCCGTATTAGACACGTTTCTGCATTATACAACGTAATACAGTACCATAACTTACGTTTGACAGGGCCACGGTTTTTGTTCACATTAGAAACATATCCACATTATGCACGTTCCGCATTTAGCAAGTTTTGCTGTATTACAGTTTTAATACAACTAATGATTATATTAATGAAAGAGAAATATAAATCAACTAAAACATGCGATTTCCATATTATATTCCTATCAAAAACTCATAAAAAAGTATATTTTCATATCCGGATAAAATGTATTTTCTAAAAATATATCTGAATTAATTTGTAGTCCAATAGCAAGTTGCCATATGTATGAGATGATACGGATAGTTACTTTATTAATTTAACTGAAATGTAGATATCACAAGGCATGTTCTCACGAATTTAATTGAACAATTTTAGTTAAACGATAACATTTTGGCTGGTTCAAAATTTAATGGATTAACGAGAAGGACAATCAAATTTATCGAAACAAAGGTTCTCACTACAGACTTCATTCAATTTTGATTGATCAACTAAAATTGTTCCATTGAAATTCTCATGAAATTGCGCCAATAACTAAACGAGATGAAGTTGAAGCCCGACGTTTTCCAGATTAAAAAGTATTTGAACTGTATGTAATGACTATATATATATATATATATATATATATATATATATATATCAAAATTATCTAATAGAAAAATATATAAGACTTACCAATTGTCTTACCACGAAACCTTGCAGCACAATTTAAATGAATTAGATGATTGTCAATGATGATGAAATTACTACAACTCGGTACGAGAAGAAAAGTTTTGCTCCTTTATCGGGTCAGTAAAACACACAACAAATACACAAGCGTTAATAAAAACACATTAACAATAATTAGAAAGTAAAACAGTAAACAAAGGAAGAATTAAAATAAAAAGTCGATGAAGCGTATAGACGCGGAATTATGGCTTGGAGAGGGCTTGGCTTTGAGGCTTAGGCACAATAGTATCTACGGGGCCAAAGAGTGAACTACACATTACAACGTACGCAGGGAACTCTGCCGGCTGCTTCTACAGTCCTATGAATCTAATAATATAGAACAGGTATTCCGCAAAATTAATTAGTTCGCAGACCCCAAAACTGTGTAATAAATTAACCTTTTCTTTCTAGAATAGTGTTTCAAACAGATCCACACAACATTAGTATCTCTACTTGGCGCTTCTCTCCTCAGAATTCACAGAACACCCATTAACGCAATACTCACCAAAGATTGATCTATTGACAAGAACTCGCTAAATAAGATATTTCAGTTGCTATTATGAATAATATGTTCTATATGTTAATAGATTGCATTTCTTTCATGTGTTTGCAAAAAAAGCTTCTAACAAAAGCTAATCACATATCGGTTTACTTCAAAAAAATCCTTTAGAACCTGGTTTACGATTTTGTCCTCCTTAATAGTTAAAGAAAGCACAGAAATAATAGAAATACTACATAAGTTAAAGAATGCACATAGGAAATAAGTTTCCAGTAATCACTGTCGTAATGATTTCGTTGTCAAGAAATCGCGAAAACTTCGAAATAATTAAGCCTCACGAATCTTCTCAGAAAATTCTTGATCCAAAATCTCTGAAGGCAGAGACAGCCAGTTTAAGTCGCTCTAGCGTTTTGGGCTCTAGAGGGAGGAGGGCGCTACGAAGCTTAGCCCCCCCCCCCCCCGAAAATGTAAACATAAAAATATTTAAAAGGTAGTATAAATATGATTTAAAATTAATTATTGTTTGTGTATTTATTTAAATACTATTCGCAATAAATTCGTTTTAAATTGTAATGCTACCGGTTGAAAGAGTAATAAAACTACCATAATTTTTCATTTTGAAGCTGGTTATAAATTTAAATATACAGACTGGAAGTAATATATAAATTAGTTATTAAATTAAAATGTATTTTCTTCAATATTGAATCATTCCCTTCTGTTTTAAATATTTGCTGAAGCTGCCCTGTCCCAGCGCAGTTTGTAAGCACTACAGTCGAGTTACGGTACATTACTATTCGCGAAATTTAATAGCTTAGCCGGCAGAATGTTCCCCTTCAGACAATGTTGAAAAAGCTTTGGAATTTCATTCAAAGCAATGGGACTGCGTAAGCTGCACATCTGAAAACGATTACCTTCTCTTCCATTGTCTGGACAACTGACGATTTTCGTCGTGTCTCTGTTCTGACCTCCTGAACCTAAGGGAAAACCATACGGGCCAGAGCAGTTAGTAACGATTAATGTAAACTGCATAATTCCGCTAAGTAACTGGGGACAAGAAGTCGATGAATTAAGTATTGTATAATTGTGTCGTGGTGAATATGGCAGGTAAGTGATTGCTCCTTGATACAATATACACCAGGGAACATTGTCTGGGAAGCGGTACTAAACAATTTTCAATTAAATCTTAAATTACAATTGCAATAAATGGACGTGTGGAATTGGAATACTTGTTTGCTCTAAACTGAAGAAAAAAGGTTCAGTTTTTTGAACTAATGAATGGTTTTAGTTATATTGCCGACAAATGCATGACATATTCTATATTGTTTAAATCAATAAAGTTTCTGACATCCATTAGAAGATAAAATACGTTACTAGATGAAATGAATGACGACATTAAAGTATAAAATAAAATGAAGATAAAAATAGCTATAATTACGTTTCAAATTAATGAAAAGCGCGCTTGTTTAAAGCTCAACTCTATTCTTTATATTTGTAGTAATCAACTTGTTTAAATAAACTTTACAGTATCTCAGCTTCTATTGGGTAGGTTCTTCATTCTGATTTTCGAAAAGTTAAAAAGTGATTTTCTCCTTGTACACCATCAATTGAAAATGAATAGAGGTCTAAACGTCCACGAACTATTCATTTCATTACCAAATTCTGGCAAATTACATTAGGTATACATTACTTTTTTCTTTTGCCTCTTTTCATCAATGAAAGTCGGTTAGTGTAAAAAAAATGTCCAACTCGTCACAGTACCATGTTGTTAGTGTGTGATGTCACACGTGTAGAAAAATGTGTGTTGTTTGATGTCATAATGAAAACGCACGCAAGATTACAAGTTGTGCTCCTTGGAAAGTGTTCTGTACCTGTGATTGACGCCGTTCTGTCTTTTTCAGGATTTCCGGTTCCGCCTCGCGGATCTGTGAAAGTTAGTCGTGAAATTATTAGACAGTGTAATTTGTAATTTCATGTTTGGACAACACTCAAATAAGAACGAAACAAAAGTTAACAAACATCAAAAAGTTCGAAATGAAGGATGGATGAGAATGTACAGTGTTTTTGACACAAATAAAAAGTTAATTAAGAAGTTTGATAGAGTGCAACATAAATGAACATAAATTATAAATTTCCGTAAAGATAAAACATATAACATAAAACACATAATAAGTGGACCTTGTGTCACAACAGACAGGCCATTAAACATAAAATAAAAACATAAATACACAAAGACACACACAACATAAATTACACACAATACATTTATATTACATAAAACAACACAGAAATATCTGAAAGAAAGAATAGACGAAAAAGTTGCAGTTCAACCTCAGTTGCTCACTGTCAGCAATCTCGCCTAACTTCGTCAAAATACAAAAGGGCTTGCCAAATATTCAGTGATCACGCTTATTATTTGCTGAAATTCCACTTTTTTTCGACGTTTGTTACTCGTATTATATAATTACCCCTGTGTCTTACATGGGGCATTTTCAGAAAATAAATTCGACATAGTGTTAAATCAGCACATTTTTTAAATTATCGGGAAGAACATATAGACAATGCTCGTGCATATACCCGATGTACAGTACCGACACTACCCTACCTTTCTTAAATGTATTTGTTCTTCTACTAGTGATGACTTTCTGCTTTCTATCTTTGCAGCAAGAAGCTAGGGACAAGAAATCAAGAGTGTGTTTAAATTGTTGTAATAATGAGTTAAAAATTAAAATTACGAGTATATTTATTATCATTAAGAGATGACTTGCTGAAAGGGATGACAATGTTCCACATGAGTAGTTTGAACTTTCACTCTCCATAAAAATCATGTTATATAAATAATTATTTAATTTAATACAATTAATATTAAATTTATCATGTAATGCAAATAAAATTTAAGTATATAGGAACTTCTGCATAAACACTTCAAGAAAATAATTTTTTGTAATCTTAAAATGATAAGTAAGTAATTCATAATGTTTCTAATGCATCCATGCTTGGAATAATAATATTATAGAATCATATCAAAAGGATACAAATCAAAAAGGTTCATCATACAAGTGAGAAACAATTGCATTCAAGGATTGAACATTTAAAAATTGTAATAAATTATTCAGTCAGGCATTAGCAATTTTGGGGTCAGAATCTTAAAAATATTTTTATTTAAAGAATAATATTTAACTTCAGAAATATTGCATTTATTTAATTTGCATAGTTCAGATTTCTGTATTATACTTGATGACAATTATTTATTTACCTGCTTTTAGACTGAAAATATTAACATTTTTAGTAATTTTCATTTAAAGAATAATATTTAATTTTGAAAATATTGTGTTTATTTAATTGATATTCAATTTCTGCATTATACTTGTTGATATTTATTTACCTGCTTTTACCTGGAAAATATTCACATTTTTAATAGTATTTAAATGAGGAAAATTACTTTTGATGAAATACACTTCATGATGTTTTCAGATGAAATTAAAATTCGATTTTTTAAAACATGATCATTCATCTTTTATTTTATTTTTAGCATTGGAGACTGAATCCCTCAATGTTACTATGCTGATCTGTTAGTTTATTGAGATCACAAATGGTTCAGAAACACACAGAACTCTGCCAGCCGTGAAAGAAAAGACATTTAGTGAATATTGGTGGTTTAGACAATGTGCACATCCCAACAATCCTTTAACCCTTTGAGCTATTCACATGCCCTTTTTCTCTACAAATTAAATTGGAACACAGATAATACAGGGCATTTTTTATTCCAGAGATGTTGATACTGAAGTTGTAGAAAAATTACCTTCGGAATTCAAATAATGGTGTAAGCCAAGCTCTGCCTAATTCATAAGTTTTTACTTTTTCCATATGGAGTAGAGTGAAAGTTATGTAATGCTCTGTGAAAAAACGGCGAATTTTCAGCAGAAAAACTCTTATTACAAGGCCATGGTAACAAAAAAGTGGATAAATCCAATTGCTAATTTTAGGGGGGGAAATCCTCTTTCACTTGGTGTAGCCAGAATGCATGTTTTGTGGGTCCTTGATATTGAAAAATTTAGTGACGGCAAAACGTCTGTCCATCTGTGAACAATGCTAGCAGCTAAACCGTTCAGCCACTTTTCTCCAAAGTTGATATTCACCAATCAATTGGCTGATGACATGACCCCTTGAATTTGAAACTGATATTTCATTTTGGGGTGCACTTTACATGAAGCCCCCAGGTCATTTTTCCAATAAAAATTTTAAAAAAGGCTCCATGGTTTTTGATTCAATTTTGTTATTAAGTAGAGAGAAGGACGTTTAAGAGAATGGTGCAGGTCTCAGGTTTGTTAAAAACCCTGATTTTGCGAAAATTGCAATAGTTCAAAATATTTTTGGAGTCTTCCTACAACACAAATATTAAAGATAGAGCCTTTTTCCTTAATAAAATCTATTCCTTAAAGATAGATTTTGAAGTAAGGTCATGTACAATTTTTCAAATATTTGGGTATTAATTTTCGCATAATTTTGTGAGGAAACAGTGAAGTATGTGCTGTTTTAGTGCTACCGGTTTACTGTTGCCAATGTTTTATCAATTAATACCACATTGACCTCATCACAGCTAAAAATTATATACAAATTATTGAAATATATAGACAGTTGGTTACATAACATCCTTCGAAAAGAACTAATGATTTCGTTTATTCACATACTTAATTACTGATTAATTTACCTTAAGTGTTCCAAAATTTAGGAGTACATATGTAGGGCACATTTCCATTTTTATTAGGATTTATGTTCATGGCATAATTTCATTTTAAGAATAGTGAATATGTGAATAAAATAGCAAGTTTTGGATATCTCAATTTCAAAAAAACTTGAAGATTATTTCTAATAATTCTTTCTGTTAATTTTAAAGTTCACTGATCCATTACTAATGCATTATTTTGTAGTTGTAGCAAGAAACTAATTTTGGAAAGAAAAAGGGAACGTAAAGTATCTCATTAATATTTTGCCATGAGGAAGGTCACAGCATGATGGTGGAAACATTTGTGATTGCGTCTAGGATGTGGCATCTCCTAGACAGCCAAGTATCTTATTAATATTTAATTTTCAGTGTCTGGTGTTAAAAATGAAAGATGAGACAACAGAAAGATGAGTCATAAAAATTGGATTAAACTTGGCTGGCAGAGCAGGGTATAAGATAACAGAACAATGGTAACAGAGAAAGAACATTTAATGGGTGATAATTGTTGTGACAACAAAGGGTTTGGAAAACTGACTGGCCGTGCTTCACGGCTCACCTGTGTTTCCTCCAGTTGAACCTTCTCAACCTTTTCTTTCTCTTTCTGTGCTACAGGCTTCAACTTCACAAATGGAAAGCCCTTTTCTTCATCTTCTTTTGGCTTTGGAATACCCTTCTTAATTATTTTGAACTTTGGTTCCTTTTTCTCTTCAACAACCTCTACAGCTTTTTTTGTAATTTTACCAGCTTGTATAGTAGTCTGAGACACTTCTTCTGATTTCATTTCAACACGTACACTTCTCTGCTCCACCTTTGGAATTTGAACATTGGACATATGCATCGATGAAGAAATTTTATGTTTCACTCTTTTAAAGAGACCCTCTCAGTCCAAAAAATATATCGGCCTTCTTTGGAGTATGTCATGACATTTTGTCTTACCACTGTCTGCAGAGAACTATGATACCATAGAGAAGAATGTTGCTTTGGAGGGGCAAATAGTAATGAAAAAACTAATCACAGAATTGAAAACTTGAAGAAAAAAAGCATTTTAAACATTACTAAGACAAGACATGGACAGACACAATGGCACAATACAAGGACAGTACTCATTAGACAGACTTGACAGTACATGACAATACTCATGACAAAAGACAATCATAATGACAATACATTAGACACGGACAAAAAAGAAAAAAAGCTTTACTTCTAGCTAATGAACAAAAAATATCAATATTATAAAAACAAGTAAAAAGATTTAAAAAAGCTTTTGAGTATAAAAACAAAAATGAATCTTAAGCAAAAAATACCTACTAAATATAAAAGAGAGTCTTATTTAATATATTCCAAGGATTTCACAGAAAGTTTCATAAACATTTTCCTTCAACAAACATCACTGATAACACAGATTTTTTGAAAAGTGTTAACTAAAAACTGCATAAAACTTCTTTTCTTCTAGTCTTACATAAAAAATATTGTGAGAAGCAGTTCATATTATTTACAAAACTCATAAGTAAGAAACTTCAACTATCTTATTTTTAATATTTGTTCATGAGGCTTTCTGTTGCAAAGGTAATATTGCTTCTGTTATCATTGTAGTAACACACAAAGACTAAATATTCCAGAACTAGTGTTATTATGCTCCCAAAATATTCAATATATGAAATTACTACCAATTTCTTTCACACATACATTTAAAGGTATTGCAAAGTTGTAAATGAAAATTCATCAGAATTTTCCCAATGCATTAAGTTATTTAAAAAGCAAATCCTAATTCTGTAGTACCAAGCAGAGGGGTTGTAAGAGACATTATATACAAAATAAAAAACAAATATGCCAATTAATTAATCATTACTCCTACATATATTAAACAATAGAATGAATGAGCATACACAATAATTCTGTTAAAACAATAGTGCCTTATGATCAGGTGAAACCTCCATTATCTTAGTGATACTACTTGTGTTCTGAAATTTAATTCTAAAATTTTATGTAATTTTAATTTTTTTTGTGTTTAAGCTTGTGTATGTGTTCAAGATCTTTAGAGTTGTTAGCAATGAAGCATGCTCAGTGAAATGAGGATTTCAATTACCTCTTCAGGTTCCAGAATGATATCTCCCTTCTTTTGTTCTGGTTTCTTTTTCTAAGGGAGAAACATGCCAGATAGTTAGAGGAAGAGATATAATAAGGTAAAAAATGCAGGAAGTTTGGGTAAAATTTACATATGTATGTAATTTGTCATTGAAATTTTTCAAATCTGACTTCTGTAACTAGAAAAATCAATAACGTGAACTTGGTCACCAACAGATTTTGAACTTAAGAGGCAATTTTATCAGTCTCTGAATAACTCCACTTTTCTTTTTTGGGGAGGGATGGTGGTTGTGATGGGAGGGGGGTTCTTTTCTCTTGATGAGAAGCAATGATTTTTTCTTAGAGATTACATACCATGAAAAGGTTTAGGAAAAAAGGCATTTGTAGGCACGAGGTATTTTCAGTTTTTTGTATTAATATTTTCATTTTTTAGTTGTTCTTGTCAGTGTTGTGTCATGTAAGAGAATTTTGACACATGTCATATTTTCTCAAAGAATTATTAGCATGTACCTCATGAATACTCAAGTATAGCTTGTGAATAAAAAAGTAAAAATATTTTGAACAAAAATATTTTGTTTTCGGGAATGCTGAAATTTTAAAACTGAATTAACCAAATGAATTACTACTATGAAGCAAAATTGTGTAATATTCCGTACCTGAAGAGTTTCCACTTTCTCTTTCTTCTCTTCAATAATTTTTACTCCAACATCATTCACTTTCTCTTTAGGCTCTTCCTTCTGAAAATAAATGAAATTCCCATGACTCGGATGAATGGAGGATGAATCGTTTGTCATGTTTTTAACATTCATATGATACAAAATTACTTAAATAAGTCCTGAAAATAATATTTTAACCTTTTCATAGTATCTTCTTTCATTAAATAATTAGAATTCAAGATGATTAAAATACAGAAAAAAGTGAAATGAAATCCAGAAGTTTAAATTAGAGGTGAAACAGGTATCATTTTAAAAATGTTTACCCACCTTCTTAGGTTCCACTTTCTTTTCAGGCTCTTTAGGCTAGAATGAAAAACAGATATTTATTAGATATCATATAAATGTTTTTGTGTACTGTTTTAAAAACAAACTGAATATACACATAGGAACATATATCTTGTTTTACGTACATTTGTTCATGAATTAAAGAACAAAATATCAAGTTTCAAATCATATCATCACATGAGAAAAGTGTACACATCTTTATTTGTTGGCATGAAAGTATTTTTATTTTATTATGTTATTCAAAGAATTTCTATCCTTTGGGGCATTTATATAGACATGTTGGTTTTCAATTTCTTTTCCTTATGATGTGAAAAGTTTAACACTTTTGTTAGTAATTAACTTGACTTGTTCTATGTTAAGCACAATTTAAGTGACTTGAATTCAGATCATATTTGTTTATTAGTTTGTAAATTTTAATGAAACAAGATCAGTTCAATTTTCATCAATTTTTACCATGTTTTTGAAAATTATTACTTCACAAATTAAAGATTTTGTAGAAGAAATGTGATGGCAATAAAACAGTTATATAGAATTCTGTCATTAAATTAAATAAATTTAATGAATGATTTGAAACACTTTCTTTCAGTTGAAGATGGAAATCATTAGAATACTTTATAATTCACTGTCTGCTTAAAATTGCTTGGTAATCCAATAACTTCTAAAATAAATCTGGGGTGGATCTAGAGATGAATTTTGAGAGGGGAAATTCAAAATGTTTTGGTCAAATGAGTCATATTACACACTTTTGTTAAATGTTGTTGGCTACCAGCAGCTCATGCTGCGATACTATTTTATTCATTTTAACGATTATCTGAAAATATTTTTGCTTGAAAGTTTCGTAACAAGTCAAAATTAATAGTTACTAAAAAAATTTAGGGGGGAAAATTTTCCTTATTTCCCTCTTCACGGATTCATGCCTGTATAAATCAATAAAACTTACTAAGGCTGACTGATACCAAATATTCAATAACAGAACAAAATATTAAAATGATTCCTTATTCTATTAGACAATAGAAAAAGAATATATTTTAACTAAGGAATCCAACTGAAATGAAGAGGATAAATGGAGCATATTTCTTCTGAAAACTAATCTTAAACAACAAAAATATTTGTGTAAGTTTTTACCTTTAGCCCTGGAGCCTGTGTATTTGGTGAAATTTTTCTTTCTATGACCTCCTGTCAATGTGAAATGTGCAAATTATTTAGTAATGTTTCCCTGAATACATTTGAGACCATGCAAACAAAATAAGTTACAGTGCGTAAGCTGAAAATTAATTCAGCATTGTTGCATTTTCATTTAAATACTTCCCAAGGAAGGACTTATTTATTATAAGACACAGATTGCCAAATAAATTTGACAGATGTAGAAAATAGTAAATTGAGCTTTTCATATATAACACAACTCTATGTGTTTCTGTTCATAATGTTTTCTATATTTTATTGTCAAGAATTAGTTCTTTTTGGAAAGTTATGTTATATTTCTAGAACAATCTTTTATCATTCTATTTATTTGTTTTAAGAACTGTTATAAAGATGCAGGATAACTGAAGTATTTGTTTCTTGTATTTCTTGTATTATGTTTATATTTGTCATTACCTACATAGTTTGATATATCCTGTAAGACAATTAGAGATTCTTTACTGTCCACCTAATTTGATTGAATGGTCTCATTGGTAATATGTGTAATAAAAAACACACTTGATTCACTCAAGTGTAAAAGACAAAAATCTGTTGGTATAGAATAATTGTCATCAATTAAAAAAAAAAAATTTTCCTTTTATTAATAAAATTCAATTGCATGTCATTAAATATTTGTATACTTAACTTGTGTAACTAATTAAAAAAATTAATAGTAATAAAATTGTTTTTACTAAAGAGAAAATAACAAAATATTAATTCAATATAAAAATCATTGGTCAATTACAAAACTTCAAAAAATTGGGGAAATTACAGTTTTCAAACACGTTCAAGAAAAATCTTTTATTCATGATACAGATTGTAATAATTGTAAAGTATATTTAAAATACCTGGAAATGTATGTCCTATAAATATACTACTCTAATAAATGTGATCATGCATTTGCATATGAGTGGAATGAGAGTTTGGTATGTCATTGTCCATGCGGAAGAGATGCTTGGTGTAGTGATGTAGTGTACCTCCTGTGAGTCCCAGTCCTCTCCACTTTCCTCCTCTTCATATTCACTTGACTCATCCTTGTACAGGAGAAAACAAGTACATTTAAGAATTCTGAATTTAAAAATAAATTAATCTCACACAATGAAAGTAATTCATGAAAAGCATTAACTTTTATTTTGCATATTAATGTAAGCAGATAAGCATTATTGCATTACTATGTTATTACTCCAAAACAAAAGCAAAAGCTGTAGCTAAAATTAAATAAATAAAAATTTAGAGAAAGCAGCAAAAGAGAAAAAAGAAAGAAAGAAAGAAAAAAAAGAAGAAAAAGAAAAAGAAAGAAAGGAAATGGTCGTTATGCAAGTACAACTAAATCTACCACAGCTGAGAGCAGCCAGCAGACATAAAGCTGGAAAAGAAACCATTCTGAAAGTACCTTTATAAATTACTGCAAAGAAGCATTACATATAAAGCAAATAAAATGTAAAGAAGCTGTTGTTTAATGCCATAAAGAGTAAATTAACAAGAAAAACCTAGCTATTTAAAATAGTTTGTATGGTAGAAATTCATACACCAGAAGCAGAAAATTACAATAAACACACTTATTTATCATTTATTTGATTTTGAGTTCTTTATTATACACATACAAATATAAGTAAGATAATTAATATTCATTAAGCACCAAAAAATGTTAAGAGTTAGCAGCAAACACATAAAGAAACATTAGAGACAGTGTTTGTTTCAATACCTTCTCTGGAACAGGTTTCTTTTCTTCTACCTTCTTTTCAGCCTTCTTTTCTATTATTTCTTCTTTCTTTTCCACCTTCTTTTCGACTTTCTTCTCCTCTACTTTCTTTTCCTCCTTCTTCTCTTCCTTTTTCTCTTCTTTCTTTTCTTCTTTCTTTTCCTCTTTCTTTTTCTGTTGTAATGTGTTTGTTACATGCAAAATAAATTACAATCCATTCCAACCAGGGTGTGAAAACAAACAAACAAACAAAAAAGTAAAAACTAAAATGTGAAAACAATCAGTTAAATTTTAATTTATTTTTCTTCTTCAAGATGGGGGTGAAGGAAAAGATGTTATATAGTAATTTATAGGGTCCCTTTAAGTGAGAGTTCAATTTAACTATGTAATATGTATTGAAGAACTTAATTATATAAAAGGAAAAATGGGGTGCATATTATTACAAAATTGAAACAGGGAAACAAAGGGATATTTTAGAGAGACATCCTGTGTCTCAAAAAATATTGAAAAAGAAAGGAAGTCGACCAAGTAAAACATGTTAATCTCACCTTTTCTTCCACTTTCTTCTTTTCTGTAAATAAAAGGAATAATATTTTATCAAATAAAATTCTCATGAAATTCATTTAAATCATTGAAACGATCATTTCTTTATAGAACTGACTCCAGTAGAAAATACTAATTATAAAGCTCTTGCAGTAGTGAACCAGTATCAAATTTAAAATGAGAAGTATAGATATGCTATTTCAAAACATTTTTGTAATTTTGAAATAATTGCAAAATAATTTGGTTTAGAAGAACAAATAATATAGTTTTAAATTATGAGACGTTTCATAATATGAGTAAATCATCGAGGACGCTAATCAGTATTTATTGTAAGTGAATTTTGATTTTTAAGAAAGATTTTATAAAAATACTGTGCACTTAAGAACAAAGTACTGTAAATATACTACGACTTTTTTGTATTAAGGTAAATTAATATAGAATTGAAATAATGTCTATTTGAACAGTATTAAGAGATTAAAATCCTACCTGTGACCTTCACTTCAGCTGATGATTCATCCTTTCCATATTCATTACTGACAATTACTCTGTAAGATCCTGAAAATTCTGTCTTTGCTGAAGAAACAGAGAGACGAATGGTGGTACCATCAAATGAAGTAGATACTTCTGAACTCTCACGAACTATTTGGGAATTTCTGCAAAAAATTCATAAAAGATTACATCAGATGAAAAAGCAAATAAATTTGCATGTGACACTATCATTAAAATAAAATAAATAACACCTTTGATGAAATAGTGGTGATGTTAAAATTCAGAAAGATTAGTCAACGATATTTGAAAATTGATTTCCATTCATTTTCCACAAAAATAAATAAAAATGCATTATTCCCTAATGAATTTGGTAATGATTTCACAAAACAAAGAACTGAAAAAATGCAAAGAAATTGTGGAATTAAGTAAGTAATAAATAAATAAATTCTAGGTAGTAACAATGAAGTCCAACTTTAGACCTCTTGATTTTAAATTGTACCAATAGAATATCCATGATAAAAGTGACTCCTCAGATAGCTCAATCACTCTAACAATTGCCAAAAATTAGTTTGCTCCTACATGCAATTCCTTAGCATCTCTTATTTTTTTTGAGTTTGTAATAAATACTACCTAGTAAAAGCTTGAATTGCAAAATTGTTTGGCCATGATAATAAAATATTATGTTGAGACACAATATATAATTCTCATATCAGGTATCATTACCAAATTTAATTTGCTCAAAATAATAACTATCAGGACTACATTATAAAAGTGTCTTTATGACAAGTACTAAAAATTAAATTAAAAATAGAGGAGGGGGAGAAAGGTCTGTATAACTTTATCATTCATAAATCATCTTAAGTTGTTAATCATTTTGTTTTTTTGATTCAAAATATTATTGTCTTCATGAGTTTCAAAATTGAATGCAAGGAATACAAGTATCAACAAATCAAACAACATTATTGTAATGGCAATTAAAAAACCAAATATAACAAGAATAAATATGCAAAAACATTGACTTTGTGAAATAAATTACTGTAAATTGCCCTTCATGAATATAAATCCTTAAAGGTTTCAACATTTATAGTACTCTGTATTTGTTGTATTTAAATCATAAAAAAGCTTTCAATTTGTGTTGAATTATAAAAAAAATAGTTTTTGTGTCTAGTTGTATTTTATTGCTGAAATGTGTTATTTGTTATTCACAACAAATGACTACTTGATAAATGTTATATGTGACTTATTTTTTCTTATTGGTTTTAACATACCTGTACCATGTAACTTTCACTGTGCGATCAATTTCCACTAACTTGGCAATAAGTTCAAATGACTTTCCTTCCTCTATCGACTACAAGCAGAAACAATATCATTAGTATTAGCTGTGAAAAGTGTAAAATAACAGTGAAAATAAGTAATAATACAAACCACAGACTGGAGACCACGAGCAAATTCAGGTTTCTTGCCCTTTTCTTCTTCAGGAATTTCAGTGATTTCCACAGTTTGAGAGGTTGCCTCACCTTTTTCATTCTTTGCCACCAGTTTATATGTACCTTTATCCGTTGTAGTGACTTGCTCAATTTCTAATTTCACAGCAAACTCGCCCTAAAGCAAAATTCGTGCAGTTTCAAAAACAGAAAATATTTCATAAATATAGGATCACAATAAAGCATTGTTAGTTTCCAAAATCACTTACGTCTCTGACTTGTTCCACTTTCACCATGTGTCGTGAATCTTCCCTAACAGCAGTTTTCTCTTTAAACCAAGTACATTGAGGTGCAAACTTGGATTGTACTGTGCACTCAACTATAACAGTCTTCTTCTTTACTAACTTTATAACTTTAGGCTTCTCTCGAATAACTGGGACAACTGGTGAAAAAAAAATTAGTCAAGCAATAATTAAAAAACAGATTCAGTACTATCCTAGAATGTAATGAGACATTCAATTTTTGAACAAAAATTGAAATATGTTTAAATACTTTTTAATTAAGCCCCCGGATGAAATTGATTTCAGTGAAATATTACAAAGTAGTATATGTAATGTCTAAATTAAAACTGTGAACTTTTAATGTGAAGCTACTTACTTTCAATATTCAATGTTAGGTTAGCATTTAATTCTCCCATATTATTCTTAATGTTACACTTGTAGAGTCCTGAATCTTCTGCTCCAGGGTCCTATAATATAAATAGTTAATATTCAATTTAAAATTAAAATAATATATCATTATTACGCCAACTAATTTGTTTCAAATATTCAATCATTTTTAAAGGACTGAGTTTTGAATTTAATTCATTGCTTTCAATCATTCATGTATTGCTGATACATCATATATCAGCAATTTATATGCAGAAGAAGTCACTTCAGTGACTATTATTTTTTATGAAAATTATAGTTCATAGTTTACAGTATGAATTTCATTCAGTGGAAGAAGTATCACAGTAAAATAATGTTTAATATATAAAGTAATTGAACATTAAATTATATAACACAGAAAATATGTATAAGAAGAAATGTATTTCTAGACTCACTTTTAATTCCAGTCTAATGTAATAAATATCTTCCTTCTGTTCAATTTTCATTGATATTTTCGATGATTCTTTAACAATTTGTCCATCTCTATACCAAATAATTGTAGGTTTAGGATTTGCTTTCACTTTGCAATCCATTATAACAAGTTTTCCATTTTGTTCAGAAACTATGCGAGGCTTCTCCACAAATGTTGGACCATCACCTTCAGGTTCTGGCTCAGCTTCAATATTCAAATTTAGATTAGCATTACTTTCACCAAATTCATTCTTGACATGACAACGATATGTGCCACCATCTGGACCTGCTGGATCCTATTATCAAATGCACGGTATTAGTACCACATTTTTTCTTTTAAAAAATACAGACATAAAGAAATGTCGAACTTGTGAATCATTTAATGTCCTCAGTTTGAATATGATGATAATAATAAAAACTATTATTTTATAGATTTTTTCATTCAGTTTTGAACAGTTGTTATCATTGAAGAATTAGACACAGAATCTGTAATTAATAATTATCAACCATATACCAGGGAAACTGAAAACAATTACTGGAGTAGATTATTGCAAGGTTTCTATTAATATTTGATTCTTTACTGTAGTGGTGCATAGTTCCGTTAACAATTGTTCTGACTGAAGACAGCAGCTTACATCATATATGTTTTTGTAAGAATGTATAACTCATAGAGAAAATATTTGTACTGAAGATATGGAATTAAAAATAGATATTTAAAGGTTGTAAAACAAAGTAGTCAGGAAAAAGTTAACTATTGTAAATTATTATTGCTTAATTATCAATTTATTAACAGTTATTTAAGTAATAATTATGGAATAGTCATTTTTCTTTGTATCGAAAAAGCTACCATTTTTAATTCTTCCCTCACAATCAACATATTTTCCATAATTAACAGATATTAACATGAAGGTCACTGACAATAATTTTGTGAAACATATGTAAGGTACACACCTTAATTTCAAGAGTGAGTTCGTATGTGTCTTCTTCTTTATCGATCGTTTTAATTTTAATTTTCGCTGTTTCTTTGACAACAGTAGTACCTCTATACCAGGTAACAACTGGCTTGGGTTTAGCTTTACATTTACATCGCATTGTAATAAGTGTACCAGTTTCATTAGGGATGATTCGCGGCTTTTCAATAAACGAGGGGGCATAACCAGCTGCATCATCTCCACCTAAAACAGGAATAAAAAGTTTAGAGTAGAAAATACCTGGTTCCTTATAAAGAAGAAATGAGGAGAATTTGGAAACATCAAAAGATAACAACACTGAACATAAACACAAGGATGTGTAAAAAGCAGAAAAAATACAAAAGAATAAACATGCAAGGGACACGCACAACAATACAAATGTATACAACAGTGACAAAAATGACACTATATCTCCTGGCAGGCACCAGCGAACTGTACTGAAAACTAAGTTCAGAATGCAAGGAATAATTATATCAAGCATAGTTACAAGCTCAGTCAGCATGATACCCTCACAATAAATTAAATTAACATTCTAGAAAATGTATACACTCAAGAATAAATAAGAAAATAAAGGAAACTATATAAGCAACACTACAACAAGGGTATTACCAAGATATAAAATCCAGGGGTTGTAGATTTGCAATGCTTAAATACAATACCATTCTTTTTCTTCTAATAAATAGCATACCTTGGAAGTTTAGGGCAATATTGGCGTTGCTCTCGCCATAATTATTGAAGGCGTTACATCTGTAGTTGCCACCATCCTCTTTGGTGGGATTTTGGATTTCAAGGGTCAGAAGGTAAGTATCTTTGCCTGTAGCTTTCCTTGACATTCGTACTCTGTTACTATCTGAAATAACTTTTGCACCCTGATACCAAGTAATTTCAGGAACAGGATTTGCTTCTAAGATACATTCCATAATGAGAACATCCCCTTCCTGGCGAATAGTGGGCTTCTTTGGAAAACGAGGTGGTTTACCATCTGGAATTCTATGAAAAAAATAAATATGAAAACATTGAATACTATTTAGTGTTAAGAGGTAATCATGTACATTTACTGCATTACAACTTAATATTTTAAATAATGAAAATAAAATAAATGTGTCAAAATGAAGGTAAAGAACAAATAATTTGAAAAATGTATGATGTAGGCCTATTTACTGTTGAGACTTCTTACAGATTACTGATTTAGCTTGAATATCATTTTTAGAATAGACATCAAGTTGTGGAAAATTATCATGCACACACGTTTATTTTATTTAATTTTGACCAGTGGCAGCTCATGCCAGGTGTAACAATTGCCACCCAAAAGTTTGGATACTCTCATAATACTTAAAATGTTGATGTTGTGGTTAATAAAAAATGTAGTAAATTATTTCACATATTTTCAAATTTCCTTTCTTTAATAGTTTAATTGAAATTAGCGTTTGGGGGTATCATAGAAGAGCAAATCTCTTTTTATATAAACTTTATCGGGAGGAAAATTGACCGAAGTTAAACATATTTGTGCTAAAAAAAAAAAAAAAAAAGTTAGGAAGATCTATCTTTGCCTATTGCCTATCTAGGACTACATTACTAATTTTGAATTTATACATAAATTGACGGAAAACTAAGCAGCCCGTGGCCATGAACCTGACACTGGGAAAGGTCCAAAAAGAATGAAACCGTTTTGATCTTGACTGAGATATGCAAATATTTGATTGTGTAATTCCGCGCGATTATATAATGCTGTGCGTACCAACTGAATATTCATACTCGGTGCATCACCGCTTGCGATGCACCTGAGGTTATATGACAGCAAGAATTAGGCTACCCACCATTATATAGGCGTGCTATTCACGTGTTGCGTTATGGGAGGCAACATTTTTTATATTCTTGTTACCTAATTAAAGAACTGTTGTACTGTGAATCCACATATGCTACAATTACTATTATTGCAGTATTTGTGAAGACAGTTTTGTTAAAGTATTTCATTTGTTGAAGTGTTGTATGAGAGTATTTTATTCTCTGTTCTTTAGCGGGTCCCTTCTCATCAGATTTAGCAGATAGCCTTCCCATCAGGTGCCGGGAATTTGTGAGATGCGATTAACATCAGTGACTTAATGGGGACTGCCGAAATCGAGTTTGTATGCTGATTACCCTGATCATCCGGCGAATGTAGGAGCAGCAACCTCGAATAGGAGCCACGGGCCGCGTACGATTCTTCCTTCCCCATTTGTTGGCTGTCTCATTCCCCATTCTTAGAACTGATCATCATTGGTTCATCCCTACTGATCTAGCAAAAATATCCATCTAGTGCCGGAGATTGGCGAAAGAAGGAAAATATCCGTAGGTAATATATTTCATACATAATTACCCTCTTCTTTGAAAAAAATGTAAATTCTGTGCTATTAGATCTCGCGAACAGAACTGTCCTCAGCGAGATACAAAATTATATGTGTGTTTTGTATTTGTATTTTGTATATTTTGCTATAATCGCATTACACTAATCGTGCATTAATCAGATACGAAGAGAGAATGATTTGCAGCGCCGTACTTTACACGGTACACCTGCAAGCCACAATGCTAAATAAAGATGGCAAACCGACAAACCATTGGCTGTGAACGGAGGGATATAGTGCGTATTTTTTAATGTTAGTCAACCAACCACAGCGGAGAATAGTCGCCGCCTTCCGCTTCCGGCCTCTTGTCTCTCGCCTTTGCTCCCACCGCCCGGTACCTGATGCCTCCCGCAACGAAGATTTCCCAAATCCTTCCACAGGTTACAGCGTATAGCAAGCAGGTATGAATTTGTTTTGTAGTTACTGTCAATGCCAAGAGGTGCTGCTAATTCTGTACTGCACGACGCCTACACACAACCTCCTCCAAATGTTATATTAAATGAACATTGTATTTTAGCTTTCTTGAAAAACTTGAACAAATCAAATTTTTAAATTACATTTGTAATTATTTACAATGGAATATGTTAATACATGTGGGTAATACGAAATATTTCATTAGGGCGGATTCAGAGACAGATTTTTTTCAGAAATTTTGGGAGGGGAAATTAAAAATGTTTACGTCGACGGTATCATTACGTGTCGTTAGATGTCATGTAAAATGTCGAAGGCTTCCAAAGGCAGCTCATGCTGCCTGTAGAAGCAAGGATTTCTGTCTTTAATTCAATCAATTTCATTGAACGCAGTGGCAAGTTATCTATTTTTTTGCACTCTTGCTGTTTATGCTACTCTTGCTGTTTCTATTCGTGTAGTGACTGGCAATCTCATGGGAAACTACTTCTAGATACAGAAGTATCACCATAAATTCTGCTATATAGGACTGTCACTAACCGAGTGCATTAGTGGTGTACGCCGCGTAGTCCACTATTGCACAAAGTAAAATAATCGTAAGCAGAGTGCAATAAAATTGCTTAGAATTACTCTGAACAGTATTGATGAGAACACGCTGAAACTATTACATATTGAAGTGACTTAAGATGTGATTAACACAGAAACCCAATTTCACAAAAAATGTGGGTTAGACCGCGATTGCGCTGATGCCCTCATATGTAAGCATTGGTTGTTTTCAAGAATTTTTTTAAAAACATTGTATTGATCGGATATAGAAGGTTGAAGGGTTGCTCGTGTTAGTATGTATACTGTTAAATATGCTTCTATTGTGTACGTTTTATTTTTTTATTATATTGTACTATATTATTGTGCTGCATTATATACAATTACTTGTCCCATGTTATGACCAGTTGGATGAAATACTAATTTAATCATGTACAACGGAATGAGAATATAAACTCATACAATTAAATATTTATCTGGAATTTATAATTTACGCAAATAAATTTGTGAATATGGGGAATAACTAGCGTACCCGCACGAGAACTTGCGGGACCCTCCTCTACCTTTCCTTTCACATCCATGTTGCGGGAATGTTACCGGAACGTGTTTTTATAGAATTTGATATATTGGCTCTGCGATGGAGATCCTACACACCGAACCCTTGCCATCATGGGGTAACCAGAAGAGACGTTCCTCCCAAAATGATAGAGAAGGCCCCAAAAGATCTCATTTTGGAGAGTGCAGTGTGAGCAACATTCCTGGATACCTCGAAAAGCAGGTTTTCAATCAGACACATCTGTAAGCATTTATAGAGGGATTAACTGTAAGTAGTATTTCCATTTTCACTCCGGAATATGCGGCTACAACGCGTCTACGAATATCTTCTGCTGTAGTTGAAGCCTCTTGGTACACGCGGTGTGCATAAGTGCACCCCGTCAAAAACTAGTGGGGTAAAACGAGTGGTGAGAACAGGTGGGTTTTGTTGTTTTAATTTTAGTATTATAACTTATTCTACTGGTGTTTTGTTTCCAAAATTTCTTTAATAACGCAACAGTCATTAAAGGGATCTTGCCGAGTTGAAGTAAACAATTTTATTCCAATCCATTTCATACAGAAAATCATAAACATGAAAGATTGAAAAGTAGAGTTCATAAAAAATATACTGTTTTGTGCAAACTTAGAAATCGTTTCGTATTTTCAAATTGCGATCAGCTCTCCGAAGAAAATTTACGGAGGGCATGTTAGCATGCAGAACTTTGCGTGACCTTGACTAGTTGGCCAGTGCGGAGTGAAGTACGTTCAAAATTTCCGTTAACTGCGAGTTGCAAATAACCGAAATTTACTCAAAACAAATGATTATCACATATGACAATATGTAAATCATTGGATGCATCTTTTTACTTCTTTTCTGAGTTCATCATCAGATGAAGTTAAGTGACTTGCCTGTGTACAACTGGATGTACACAGATGTATATGCGTGTTTGTACCAGCATAACCCTGGCTAGAGTGGAACAATTTCAACAAATTTAAGCACGAATAATTTTGAGTAACAGAAAAATTGGCGATTCGCGTTTCAAAATGTTAGTCTCAATTTGTTTTTATTTCTTTCCAGAAGTAGGTTTGATTTGGTGTAATGCAATCCACAATGCATTTAGGAATTGAGGGATTGCGGAGCAGTGGTTCGGGCAAGGGGCAGGCGAGACTGAGCGTGTCGGGGTGGACTGCACGGGAACAGGAAGGGAGAGGGCAGTGATGAAGTATGGGGTGAGGCGGGGAGGAGCAAAGTGGAACGGTGGGGGAAGGGGGTGTGACGGAGTTGAAAATAAAGTTATGAATACTTCCCTTTAGCCCCATAGATTGATTATTTTTTGTTTTCGGGCGCGTGAACTATGGTAATTAACCCCGTAAGTGTCCTGCATGTTTTATTTATCACAGGGGGTGGTCTTTCCCGCGCTGGATGGCGAGATCTGGCGCCGGCATACACGTTGGGTTACGGAGTTTTCCTTATCCAGTTATCTCCTACCGGCAGGGCAAAGCCGGAGCAAAGCTTGCGTCTGGTCTCCCGACGTGTGTGCTAGTGGAGTGCATGTGTATGTGTAAGTAAGGTGTGGGATAGAACAAGGAAGAGGAAGGAAAGATCACGCACAGTTCGTTACCCGTTTATTAGGATACTACTCCTGCATTCACCTGGCGTTGATCGGAGAAATAATGGAAAAATACCCACCAGAGCAGCCGGTCACTAGAATTCTCCTCCAATCAGTGTCTGAATTCGACATAGATGTCTAGTCGCAAATCCTGCCACCGTCGGGACTCGAACCCCAGGACCTGCCAGTCAGAGGCACTGCAGTGACATTAGTTAATGCCCTGAGCCACCTAAGCCGGTTTTTGCTCTCCATATAGAATGTATTCCTTTTCCTACTTAATCGATGATCGTTATAAATAGGCGGACAAAGCCGGTTACTTCAGCTAATTTAAGTATAAAATTAAAGTGGACAAACACTTTTAAAACAAAAACAAATAGTTGCAGCTAGAAGAAGTCGAAATGAAGTTCATTTTCGGGCAAAGTTGGCAACAGTGGCAATAAATGATTAAAGGTAACGTGAGCGGTAATAATTATATATTGAGCTATTCGCAAATGATTAGTATCTTTGGTACCGACTTTATCTTCTCCGTTGCCGAAAAGGCTGCAAATTGCATTTGAATAATTAATGAATTAGTAACGAACGCGGGCTTTTTCTCTATCCTTACGAATAAAGATATGCAAAATATGTACAATAAACGTCAGTACCTATGCATCGTAGTTTACCAATTACATATTTTAAAACTTCTTGCCTGCTTACATGTGGAAAAAAGTTGCCACGACTTTTGCGGTAACACCGCATTTAACGGTGTTTTTGAGGACTGCGTTGTGTTCATGGTTCCTTACACAACGTTGACCTTGAGATGTAATGTAATGAATCCATGATCTCGCTGTTTTGTTTTTATTGGTTTACGATAGGCAATGAAAAATCTCTTTTTATCAACATTTAGAACTAAAGTAGGTTCACTGATTAATTTAAGGACCATTGAAGTGTAATTCACTCGATATCAATAAAAATCTATTCCAGTTTGTTTTGTGTGCTGGCCCATGTTAACGCATTAATGCACGGGCCCGAAAAGTCCGGGCTCGGGGCTCCCAATAGTACTTAAAAATATTTAGTACTACATTTTTCAAAAAATAAAATAAAATCCGTATAAAAGTGATATATGATTAAACTATACGCAAAAAATTGGCATAATGGAGTGATGCGGATAATATTGATAATATGGACTGTTGCTGGTTGATGCGAGAATGTCATTCAGTGATGAGAAGTTTAGTTTTTTTCACTTACCTTGTCTTTAAATTGGGGGAGGAGGGAATCCATGAAAGTAAGAGTAGGGATTCCTAAAATTTTTAACGTAGGCCCAAGGACTCCCGAAGTTGTTAAAACGGCCCTGCTCCTGTGGTCACTTTACCAGCTTGTCTTTAGGCGGTTTACATTATAATTGCGTAGTTTACTACACAGCCCCTAACAACCACCTATCACACCAAACCCACCCACCAACTACCTGCATCTCTACCAAACTCAACGACCTAACTGAAGCCGTAAGCGCTTATACAAGGAGACACAGAAAACGATAACCAACTAGTAATAACTGGGCTGTACAGATAATACTAATATAATTTACATTAAATGTAAGTTTTTGCACATATGACTTATTCATTCCTTGGTATATGTTTGTAGCTTACGTAAATTAAAGCATCAAGATCCAAATTGGGCCTAACGCTCTAAAACAAATTGTTGAATCTGTTCACGTGCTACATCAAGTATCTATATTTTAAAGGTGTATTCACAAAGATGTAAAAATGTGTCACGTTTTTCACAGGAAGGGAAATAATTTGTAGTAAGTAATCTAGAGATACCCTTTCATCTGTCATTGAAATAGCTGTCTTGTATGCAGTAGGGAGAAGTGTTCTTCCCCAAATAGTCACTGTCAATCAAATATTTTCACACATAAATGTTAATATTAAATATCTAAAATCAATAATTCAGCCCTTGTGTACAAATTCCTAATTATTGTCATGTTTACTGTACTTCACGTCAACTTACTTGGGTTTGCCGCCTCCCTCAAAGTTGAGGTTGATAGTTGCCGTTCCTTCTCCGTGCTTATTTTTTGCAATGGCACGATAATCACCGCCGTCTGAAGTCTCCACGTTGCTGATTTCTAGCCGAGCCAGATAGTAAAGCTTCTGATCCTGCTCCAGGTACATCTTGTAATGACTGCTCTCTTTGAGCACTTGCTTGCCGTGATACCTGAGATACAAAAAAACTTAAGTTCTGCTGTATCAGTCAAAGAATGTCTTTCTAGCAACTTATTGATACAAATACAAGCAACTCTTAAGGAAATTTGGAGTAGTTTCACGTAAGACGTTCTTTTGTGTTGTCATGAAATATTTATTACACAAACGGCGCCGAAAATAAAGTTTTTAAATTTAATGACCACAATGTGTTGTAATGTTGAATCTTTTAACTGACCATCTCTCATATTTTTGTATTAAACTTTGTCAAAATTCACGTATGTAGAACGCAATATGTACAGAAAGATTAATCGAAATTGAATTTTATTCTGTAAAAAAAAATTGATGACTTCTTTTCTGTCAAAACATGATTTTTTCATGTTTTTCTACGAATCGCAGTGCTTCAATTGAAATGCAACTTTTGGACTGTCGTAAAGGAGGACTCAAGTGGAAAATGAACCCTGCTTTACTGCTTGATTTGGTATACGGCTCTACTGCTCGGATCATATGATCCTGAAAGTTATTTTGCACACTAGCGATAATTAAAAAACGAATTTGTGGGATCTAACTGTTTATAATGTGTAATGTTATTGTACAATTACATAAAATGTTAATATTAACTTAAGTTATTCAGTTATTAGTACTTAAATAATTTACTATAACATGGATAAAAATAAATTCATGGCGATTAGCAAATATGTTTCACTACAAATACAACATAAACTACATATTTCGTTTCTATTAATCATAGGGAAACATTTTAAACTATCACATGCGGCTAGTAAATTGTGAAGCAATTGTTGAAATTTCCACCATTCTTGCAGGTTATTATTTCGTATCGTACTTCCGAAATGTCATAAACTCACTATTGGGAGACTTGACCAGCTCTATCAAAATCATTGTGTTAATATTTTTGGCAGGTTTTATTGAAGTCCATAATGCGAAAGAAAATTCCGATCATATTGTAGCACAGAATGAAAGGTTGATGACTTATTTTTTATTGCAAGTGAATGCATTTGTAAGCTGATGCAGCTACTTTCATTTTATTGGAGTCTAAAATAATGTTTTTGCGAGGCGTTGTAACTAAATTGTTTTGTTTCGATGAAACGCTCTAAAGTTCTACGTTTTTTCCATTCTTGGAAAATTTGCACGGAAGAATATCGTTAAAAAGGAAATACTTTGAACTTTTCTAATGCTTATTTGCCGGAAATGTTTAATTTTTCCATTTCTATACATAATGATCATTGTTATTATTGGAAACTGTTCCCAATCCGATCACGTACAGAAATTATCGTAAAATCAAATTATCATTTGCACGAACTTTTTACTAGAGCAGAATGATCTCTCATTCCCTGATTATGTCTTCCTTCTCGTCAGGAGGTAAGTTTAGGCTTGACAGTGTACATTTAAGTTATCAAAACAAAGTTATACTGTCATAGTTCCAATTCTAATACTTTACATACTCGTTTGGTTGATTTTTGACAATGAAAATTGTTGATAATTTTCACCCGAACAGTACGTATGTAAGAGACCCGAGCAGTACGTATTTTTTTAGGAAAACTATAACAAATAGACAAAACGCTTTTTATACAGTTAAAGATATTTAAGTACATAACAAAGACACGACGTGAACAAATGCACACTAGACAAACTTGCCTGTGAGAGCAAAATAAATTTTTGTTCGTATCACATAGACCCGAGCAGTACAGCAGGGCTAAGGAAGCAGTTGATGCCGTGTTTGTTAAACTGTTCTAACATCATTGAAAGGATAATATTTTGATTCAAATATCCGAGGAAATGTTTTTCTCTAGGATGTGTTCTGAAACAGTTGTATATTACAATTCAAATTTAAATGTAAATGTATTTGATCAGATGATTTGACTACATGGCGTAGAAATATGGTTGTGAGAGATGGCCAATACTATTATTTTTCAAACCTATTGTGCATTGAAATAGTACACCAACGGATCATTAATGAACCCACTCGAGATTTATCTTATGGCATGCGCACAGCATCCATAATACAGCAATGCAGTCCAATATATCACAGTAAACCAATCGAGAAAAGTTTACAGAAGAAATATTTTAGAATGACAGATAACTTGCATTTTCTTATGCATAAAGTTGGGAAAAGGTGAGAGAAAAAACAAAGGTTTAAATAAGAATAACTAGAAAATAAATGCCGTTGGTTGCCGAAGCAAACATAAACGCAAGTGTATGAAATATGCTACGTACACGTTGCCTTTGCGGTGAACTCCATCAATACTCATGTGTAAATTTTGTTCCCGCAGATTTGTGTTTATTTTCGTTACCATTCATTTTTCCGAGTTATTTTTTCGGAACATTATTTTTATTCGAATGCCGGTCCGAAATTCGGTTGCCGAAGCAACATTCCGAACCTTTTTTTTTCGAACTGGATACTTTCCGATTCCATTTCATCCCATTTAGTTTATTATACGTCTTATACGAGTTTGATTCACAAAAATGATCCGTGGAGAAACATTTCTATTGCACGATAATTTCATTGAAAACAAACATGAACAGGGTCGTGTAATAGTATTCACCTCAAAAGAAAATCTGGAGATCCTTTTCCGTGGTTTGTTGATAGGACATTCAAGGAAAGACCGAGCATATACACGCAGTTGTTTACGATAATGGGTCTAATTAAAAGAAACGACTATCATACAAATAATAAAGTACAAATTACTCTATCATTGGCATTTAGTTCGCTAAGTAACAAAGATACACTGTTCGAAACTGTACAAAATATATTTAAAGCTATTGTTATGATGTATCAGCACTTTAAAGAAGAAAATAGACGTCTGTAATTCCTTAGTGCTATTGGATATAACGTATCTATTTAACTTAATATGTAAAATTAAAATTGATACCAAAAAAATTGTTATGTACTGTGCTCGAAAAATTAATTACTTTTTAGAAATCTGGAAGTATATTGGGAATTTTGCTTTCGGAAAAAAATAGGAAAAATATCTTTCGGAAAACATCTGATTCGGAAAATTGATAGGTAATTATTTATTGTGAACTATTAATTATTGCTTTCAAGGAATTAGGCAAGGTAATCTTATTTAAAATTAATATGTATTTTGTGTGCGTTTAAATTCCCAAAATTAGATGAATTGAGATTGGAATATGTCAAAATCACAAGAACATCTCTCGAGCGTTCTAGGATTATCCCCCACTCTGGAGTACAAGTGTTTAGGTTGAGATTAAAAAAGATCCAGTCAATTGTTCATGGAATCATGAAATCCACTAAGAAAACCAGGAACATTGGACCTGAGAAAGTCACAGTTTAGAAAAGCTCGATGACCGATAGGGAACGTTCGCTGTTTGGATTGATTTTGTTGAGAACAATCGTACATGACGGACGCTTTCTTACGTAATGCAGTCCATGATAAAACGTATAAATAACATACCTGAACTAATTATTCCCAGGTATTTTTTTATTTAGAGGTTTAAACTCCATAATGCAAAGCAAACTCGTTTTATATCTGTAACTAACAATTGTCGGCATCTTGGGTAAATTATTAGTTCGTATTATTTAAAGAGAAACAGTACTTAGAGTGATGTGTTTTATAGTCAAATAAATTGTTTTTTCAAGAATCAGGAATCCAGGAATCAATCATTCCAGGAATGGTACAAAAAACACCTCTCAACTAGAAGTGTGCTTGTTTTGTGTCAGCTTGGCAGCATCTAGATCGGATAATTAATATTTTTTTAAAGGAACCACCAACACTCAAACTTTTCTTTTTCATTACAGATCAGTATCTGCATCCATCACAAAGTGTTTGGCAAAAATTATATATTTTCTAATGAGACAATGAAAGTAGTGGTGCTACAGAATGGTACAGACTTTCCCGTATTAGTGTTCTCTTTCCTTTGGTCTCAGCTAGCTACTCGGCCTTGACACCCACTCTTTGCACCTGCTATCTATCGCTGCTCAAAGTACATATAAACAAATCTTAATTTTTCGGTTTCCAAATAGTAGAACGGAAATATAATAATATTCTTAAAATATTAAGAATATTAAAGAACAGAAACACCTCGTCCTAAATGGCAATTTTCTTTGGAAAATTTGGAGCTGTTTTTAAGAAAATGGTGTTAAAGCTCTACTGTAAATTCGAAATGTGAAACTCTTTTTCACAGAAACGTTTTGGGTTTTCGTAAAACTTCATTTGGAGTAATTTGAAGTACATTAGCTCACAAATATAATAGTGTTCACAAATAGGTGTAAATGTGCATTTTAATTGTGAGAGAGATCTTTCAAAAAAATTACATTTGTATAATTTTTGAAAAAACAAAAAGGACCCAAAATGAACTTTACGTCATATTGAAGAGTGAAATTAGTACTACCCGTTCGAAAAGTTTGAAGAACAAATTTGCCGCCATTTAGGAGAAAATAGCGTTTGAGCGTTTCTGAAAATGCGGGATTTTGAGACAGTTTTCACAAACAACTGCGGAGTTTTCGAGAAACTGTATTTAACATTATTTAAAGCACTTGTACTCATAAATATAATGTGAACAAATCGCCGCTAATGTAAATATAAACGACGTGAGAGACACGCTAAAAAATACATTTTTGTAAATTTTGAAAAAATAAAATAGAACAACATCGCGCTTATGTCGTATCATAGAGTACAGTTAGCACTATCCATACCAAACGTTTAAAGAAAAATTTGGAGAAGTTTTTGAGAAAATTTTGTTTTCGTTATTTTTTTAAATTGCTCATATTGCGCCGAAAAAACTAAAAAGTTCAAAAATATATAAATGACCATAATGAAAGAACTGACAATGGAGAAGAAATTTTATTTGAAAGGAAAATATCTTCAATTTTGTAGGTGTAGGAAGACGCCGCAATAATTTCAAAATTTTGCAATTTTCGAAAATTCAGAGTTAACCGTGAAAATATGCCATATTTATAAGTGTATTTTACTCTATTCTTACAAGAAATTTAAAGAAAAACTTGGAGGCTTTTTAGAAAATTTTAAAAATGTCCGG